AATTTTGGGGATAAGTGGTGAGGTGGTGGGTGTGGTAATAACTCGACTATAGATAGACGATTGCTTCTAACTGTATTACTATGAGGTGCTGTATTATTGGAATGTTGAAGATCCAGAGCAGGGTGAAAGTCGACATAAGGTGACTGAGATAATTCGGTGGAGTTAAGACTCACGTTTTTGAAATCAATGCCAGTGTTTGACAAATTTGTCATGCTCTTAGAATTTTTTAGAATGTTCTGAGACTTTTTATCATTACTTGTTTTCTGGTCAATGTTGTTGTTGAGATTAGATATTTGATAACTTACATCATTTATCGAATCACGGTTATAGGCACTAATGCTATCACAGGTGTAAGGAGAAGTTTTAATATTAGAATAAGTAACCAAAGGATCTTTAAATTTATTATTTGTTTGAGTAGACTTTAGCCTCTTTGAAGTTAAATTAGACTCATGTAACATCTCATTAAGATTATTTGAAATAGGAGGACATAAATTTGGTTGACCAATATTTGATGAGCCTAGTATCATATTGTATGGATATGCGGGATGGTAGGGATTTTGCATTTCAACTTTTTTTGCACTTATATTATCCGTGTGCAATAATATTCCTTTAAATTTCTTTGAGCGATCATATATTTTATTATTTTTAAAATTGTCTTTAATAACTTGGCTTTTATTAAGATTTTGATCAATATTGGCAGTATTTAGATATGGCTTAGTCAAATTGTTAGTGTTGTAAGAATTTACCATAGGTTGTGTATTGGAAGTTTGAGCAATTGCTTTAGATGAATGTCCTAGAATACTTTTAAGTTCTTCATAGTCATTTACAGTTTTAAGTTCCAAATCATCAAAAGGACTAGTTGACTGATTTAAAAATTCATTTATATCAATTGGTATTTCATTCAAAGTTTTATTTTGGCTGTTGAAACTGTTTTGCTGAATCTTATCTGTTGAGCATTCTAAATTGGATTGAGGATTAATTGTAATTTCACTTTTATTTTTCTTGTATAAAATGCTTTGACTAGGTGTGGGTTTTAGTGTTAAATTGAATATACCAGATATACCTTCTGAGATAGAAGTGGCATATTGATTAAAAATGTTTGTTTGCTTGTTCACAATCTGTGTGGTATCATTACAATTTTCAGGAGATTCTATGAAGGTTTCAACTGATTCATAAATGGATGAATTATTTTCTTTTTCATAATTAATATTCTCATTTATATCAGCATCTTCTCTTGCCTTATTATCTTTAATCCAATCCAGGCAAAAATTTTCATAAGAAAAATCATAATTTAGGGCAAGCCCCTGATTTAAGATATCAGGATTTGAATTCTCTATATGAGTATTATATTGCTGTAAGTACTTATAAATTTTCCTGTTATTTATACTTAAAACCAAGCCGTCTGAATATTCAAAGTGATATATGGTGGAATATGAAGGGTCTGCCATGCCATTCAATAGTAATTTAATTAAGGAAAATGAATTATCAGGCTAGCCAATGTTTAAATAAAAATTGTTTTTTATCATATTAAAATTTATGTTGAGATAATATGGTTTAATTTTCATAAATAGAGGATTAGAACCCTTATTTTTCCTATTTGCAGTGATTTTTTAAATACGACTTTTCACCCATATCGAAAAATAAGTTAAATACGAAAATACCTAAGTCCAGCTGATTATAGTAAAAAATTAAAGTCCATGATTTTTAGATTAGATTAATATTTAAAATGGCCACAATAAAATGGAAATTATAGGTTTAAAAAATTTGAAAAATTATATTAAAATATATATTAATGTCAACTGGTTGATATACCTTTCTATTTCTATCTAATTATAGCAATCCTTAATCGCATTTAGGTTCTATCCCGTTTAATATATTTTAAGAAATATTCTTTATTTTTTCATTCAACACTTCAAAACATTAGCGAGATTTTTAACCAATGTCAAAGTCCCTTAGAGATTACACATAACCGTATTTTAAAATCTATTTTACCCAAATGCTCCTACAATCTATTAGATTAAACAAACTTATTTATATTTTCTATTAAAAGCTATTTTTCTACCTCTATTTTTTATATCAATGCTACATTCCAAAATATTCATGCTCCCCCTTCTTTCCACTTTCGTGTTAGCAAAATATATTTCATTCTAAGGAAAATGGCAACTTTATTTTGCGGTTTTAAATCTATATCTTAATTAAATATTTTATTGAGATTCTTAAAAATGTTGTATAATTAACCAATATAAATCAAGTACTAATTCTATATACACTTTCATTAAATCATTTCTACAGTATATTTTTAATTAGACTTAGACATAGCCTTTGAGGTGGGCGTTGACAAATTCATCTCTTACAAATTTTCATAAATGCCATTATACGCTAATTAATTTATAGCTTACAACATAAATTAAAATTTATGTATTTTTTAAAAAATATACAGGTAAAAATTAAATTTAAAAGAATATTTTATTTTTTAAAAATGCATCACGCCTATGGTAAAGACCTTTAATAAAATTCCCAACTCTTAGAAAAATCCTTAGTGTTAGAAATTCTACAATAATTTTTTATTTATTTATTTACGTAACGTTGAAGGGAAGGGTGGGGAGGTGGGTGATTTATGCCCCAGTTCCCTACCCCCTTACTTTTTAATTTATGTTATTCATAAAATATTTTTCTATTTCAAATACAAATAAGACTCTATAACAATATTTTCCTTTCCCATAATATCAAAAATAGTTATTCTAATTATAATTTATTAACCGATATTTAAACGAACCAATACCTTTAAAAAAACAAAATTTACGAATACAAAGAGTTCTTTATAGTTGCATTATAAGCATGAAATAGAAAAGAGCATGTCATTCCAAAATTAGACTTAAAAAATGTGCTAGTCTTAAATGGAAATAAACCAGACAAGGCCTAAAAATTTTAAAAAATTGCCTCTTCTTATAAATATTTATATGAATTATATTTTTCAATTACAATTTTCTGGTTAAAAATAAAATATTCAGGTCGGATCAGACCACTCCGACCTTTTAATAACACCAATAAAGTATATCTATTATTGGATTGTAAATTTACTAATTAAAATTAATCATACATTATACTGGTAGACTTGCTAGAAAACTGGAGCCAAGTTTATGCGTTGAAAAAAAAATGACTCAAAATCTCGAGTTGTGAGCCTAGTTATTAAACTCAAGTTATTGATTCGAGTCGTGAATTCTAGTTTGAACTCCAGGTCAATAATTTAGTAATTACCTCGTTTTTTTTAGAAATGAAAAATATGGGAAGATACGTCTAGTCTAGATAATTTTTTGATCAAAACCCACGGCTCTAAAATTTATTCTTCCTTTCTACAAATACAATTTAACAGATTAGCTTGAAGATATTTTAATTGTATTCGCCTCAATATAATTTTATAGAGAATTAATGATAAAATTTTAAAAATATTCTTTTTTTTAAACATAATTCTAATATGGTATGAAATAAGATCTATATCAAGTTTTTATAATATTATTTTTAGGAATCTGTATCATGAACCTTTGTTTTTATTTTAAGCGCCGGTTAGGGTTTGAATCTCTTGTTTGACGAGTATAAATTATAAAGATTATCATTATTACCAAATTATTATAAAATATAGTAAACATATTCCCTAATTTTTAGCTTATAATCGAAGCTATTAAAAAAGCAATAACGATTGATATAATAGACATCTTCTTAGGGTTTAGTGGCTACTAGTAAATGGTTAAAATGTTTCTAAATGCCGTAAAAAAAATGATTCAGATATTAATGTCTATTCCTTATGAAAATAAGATATTATTTATGATATAATAATTTTGACAATTTTATTAGTGTTGTTAAACGGTTCAATTTTAAAACGGCGAACTCAATATTTTAACCAAAAAATATTATGCAAGCCTGAGGATTTTGCTTTGGGCATTAAATATTGAGTTAGCCGTTTTACACTAATTTGGACATGTACACTCTGGTAAATAAATTTATTTTTTATCTTACATAATAATAATAATATTTATCTAATCCTATCTTCGATAAAATAAGAAACAAATATATTTGACTAAATTACAAAATAGATTAACCGATAATTATTTATATGACCCATTTACCTCCAATTTTTATAGGGTAAAGTAAAAATAAACAATATTTACACATTTGAAAATCAAAACGATTGGTTAAATTATAGATTCTAAATCTAAAATATTCGTACGAATGCAAATAGTAAATTATTTGATTCGTTTAAACGAATCGAATAATCCACTATCCGATTCGAACTCGTTTTTGAATAGGCCTAGTATGGATTGGGTACCTTCAGTGAATGTATGGCCAATCTAGTAGTATAAATATATATATATAGTTGGATAAGACAGACTTAATAAGAGTGGGCAAGTCTTAACTTTAAGTAAAATTATTTTTTATATTCCACAAAATATTTTTATAAAAAAAAGGATCTAGGAGTTTATATAATTTATTTGGGGGTTTTTAATCATAAACATGATCAAACTATTTGTGATGATATTTAAACAACGTTAGACAAATGGAATTAAAAGTAGGTTTAGCATCTCTAGATAGTAGGCATAGAATTTAATAAGTTCCTTTCCAATAAATATTTAATTTTATAGTAAAAGGCTTACAAAACGATACTCAACATAAATTAATTGGCGATGTTAAAGATTTTTTTTTCAAAAGATCGTAATTAGAATCTTGTTCATATTTTTTAATTTTTAAAAGTTCAATTAGATAACTGGCAGAAATTAGAACTTAAATTAAGGTTGGGTTGAATATAGTAACGGTGACGTTACCATAATTACGCCAATACAAGATATTCATTGCTAATTTTGTTTTGGATTGGTTGGACAACGAATAGATATCGTTCTTCGTGGCCATATATGGAAACCGATTAAGAATCCGCTATAAATATCAGCCTAAAGTAAACCGGTGGTTCCTTATTATTTACAATTTAATGATATATCCGTTGTTTTCATGTGTAACATATTGCACAAAATAGCAATAAATTTAAAACGAAATTCGCAACAAAAATTAAATAAAATAAATTAAATTAATGGATTTGGGAATCCAAAATGTGGCGCGGGTAAATAATAGGGATATTCGCATCTCGATGTGCCATTTTTCGGAGATATTTGTTGTCTCGGTTTTGTTTTATGCGTTATCGGTGTTAAAAATGTTGTGGAAAACCATTTGTAGATATAGGTATCATTTTTTGAAGAATGTTGACGAGGTTGATGCGGTGCAAAACCGGCTGGTACATTTTTGTGATTGATTTTGGTTCTATTTTTGGACGAGGAGTTCTGCCATAAAATATCGCGATTTTTGGGCAAATTATTTTTCTTGTCCTTAGCAAGGGAATCAACGGTTTTTACAGATTTAGGAACTTCATTTTTGTGGGGAACTGGGCTTATCCTAGAAAGTTTAGAAAGGAAATTGATTTGATTTTGCTTGTGAATCTCGACTAATCTAGGGGAGTGGGCATCTAAAGCGTTATCAAAGATGGATCGATTTAACGGATTATGATTGGACATAGATGAATCAGACTCTACGAATATGTCTTGTGGTGATCGCGTTTCAGTGAGCAGAGATGCGGATATTTGAAGGGATTCGCGTATTATGCTATCGGTAAGTTCAAGCGAAAATTGTTCAATTCTGCATCTTAAAATATGTCTATTCACGAGATATAACCGGTTACGAATAGATGCAGCGCAGGAGGTAGCAACTGACGTTTGAACAGAATTTTTTACCGAAGAATTTAAATATCTATTAAAGTCGCCATTTTTAATATCTTCCCTACTTGCCATACATAAATTAGTCAGATCTTTGCGATTATGGCCTCCGATATTGTCCCCAACATCCAAATCATCTTGAGGAACGACCAAATGGCTTTCGACGTTATTGAACGAGCTCTCACTATTTTTTTCGTTTAATAAGCTGTCAGGAATCGGTATCTTGACTTCATCCTTTTGGCTGAGACAACCACTAATTTCGCTCTTAGCGTTAGACGAGGCAGCGGAGGTCGAATGGCTACCTCTGCGTCTTTTACGTCTGCGGGATTCGTAAAAAGTTTTCAACGTGTTTTTCGGCATACGGGTCTCGTCGACATCGTACTGGTTAGAAGTGACTAGGTCTTTATCTTCGTAGGTCACGAGGGAGCGCGGGTCCAGAACCGAGCCAGGTGGTGGTAAAACTGTTTGTTTTTATTTTCAAGAGGGATAGAAGGACACGTGATATAAATTTTTCTTTTTCTTCTCTTCCCTTCCCTTCCTACCTCTTTCCTTAGTAGAAGTATTTTATCATGGTGTTTTATATATTTAAATTAGGTTTATTTAATAACCTATCAATTCTTATTTAAAAGATGAGGCGTGAAGGCAAAAAATGGCAAGTACTTAGGATATGTAAATAAGAAGAAAAAAATATATCAACCTTTCACGTTGCAATCCACGTGAGCATCGTGACTATTTTGATGGGCGCCATTTTTTCTAACTAATCTCCCATTTTTCCTCGGTGAATTAGGTGTTTGGGGCGATAAAAATAGGTCATCGAAAAGGGAGCTTAATTTCAATATTAATATGCTAAAATTTGATTCTTTCCTGGTTACGTTCTCGTGCTTAGGAATATTAACGCCACCACGAAGAGTGACCATATAATCGTCGTACAATGCTTGACTCAGGGCCTGAGGATTCAGCTCCAAACCACTCATCATATCCATGTCTTTGTAGGCGAAATCTTGATAATCGAGTTTGAAAGGTTGGGGGTTCTTCTCACTGATATTCGATTTTGGGTCACTTTGGTTTTCGCTGGTAATCAAGGACTCTGGGACCAGATTATCGCCCGGCGAGATGTGCTGGCCAATAAAATTGGCCGGAAGATCATCTAGAAGTTCGGGCAGGGTGTAGATGTCCAAGTGATACATGGTGATGAAATTGAACAAAAGAAACTTTTCGTAGTTATTATATATCAATGTGAGAGCAAAGCCGTAAGATCCAAATCTGGCGGGAAAAAAAATATATAAAATGTTAATACCCTTGATTAAAATTTTTTAGGGTTCAATTACCAAACAGTGTTTAGGAATGCAGATGGGTCCAATGACAAAACCTAGACTGACGATGAATTCATTAAAAGTGTACTTAATGAAAAACAGCTGGGGACGCCATATTGGCTACCCATAACATTATTAAAAAATTTGAAACAAGAGGCCAATTCATTTCCACGTCTGACGCAAACAAGGAATACAAGTTACTAATTTAATAGTTGTTTTTATTAACATGAGAATGATTAATATATGAGTTACTAAAATGGCGGGTCCAGCTGATTCGCATTCAACGACGCCTTTCAAATGCATTATTATGAATGCTTCGTCGGTCTAGGTATTGTTATATGTCATTGGATGGAACATTGCAACAATGAAATAATCAGACTTACACTTGGAAGTTTATTTAATAATAATTAAAACAGCCCAGATTTTTTTTAAAATTGTTACTACAGAAAATTCCGACAAACTTTTAGATTCGATTATTTCATGCTAAACTACGCGTTTGGCAATGTTTAATGTATTTTTATAGAACGATTTTTAATATATAAACATTTATCGAAAAATGTAGTATGTTAAAGTAACTAGTTATGTGCTGAATTTTGATTATTTTTTTTTATAAGTAAATAAAGAATTATTTTTTTTTGTAAAAATAAATGGGTCTTGTTGAAAATTCCATGCCTGAACTTGATTACCATAATTATTTTGATAAGTAGCTATTATTGTTCTGGGGGCATCGAAAGGAGTTTCTTCAAGATTTATCGTTATTTTATTTCCTTTCACGATGTGCTTTTCAAATACTACTCGTGGATGGTTGTATCTCTTGCGGATACCAACAATTATTTTCCAGATCAATCAATGAGGGTAGGGGTAAAGTGCTTGTACGACAACACCACTTTGTTATGCCCATCCTCTTGTTTGGTAGCCATTGAGTTTCCGGTTCCTGCGCAACTTGCATTTATATCTACAACTGTGTTAGGACATAATTTCCTACTTATTGTATGTGGAACTCTTTCCCAAGGCATAGATATTTGTGTCTTATATCCAGGAATGTGATTCCAAGTTGATATAGGTCCACCGTAAGTCTTAGGTAAGAACATGTTGTTTTCTTTTACATTATCAAGTGTGTAATCCGCAGGCCAAAAACATCTCCTAGATTCCTTTCTCTTTATCTTGATTAGGGTCTTGTTACCGCTAAAGTCTTGACTTTCTATCCACGTTACTTGATCTGAATGCACTGAAATATTATTTTTAGCTCCAACTGCTATTAAATAATTTGGACAATCACCACTCTTTCTTTCTACGACTTCCATAACTAACTTTTGTGAAATAAGCAATCCTTCAAATCTAACCAATGCTAAGTTAAAATTAATATATGCTTTGCATGCTGGAGGGTCTTTAGATCCAGATGTGATTATGTAAAGTGTATTGGTGTCATGTGTCATTTTCGCTGCATAAAGTGCTTTAAAATAATCAATGTAATTGAAATGTAATATTTTTCCTGTTTGTGAAATTTGTTTGTATGCTTCGAACTCCTCCAGTTTAAAAACCTTCCCGTAAGAAAGGTGTTGTTGATGGTGTATAACATCTGTCCCATTCTTCTTGCAATATCCTCTACTTGTAAGCTAAGAGCTCGGTAGGCTTCACATTCTAGACCAGTATTACAGACTAAACACAAACCAGCATTCTCTATAGTCTTTTCATGTATGAAAGTGCTGACTAAAGACGCATTTGCAAAAACCATTTTATAAGTATGTCCTTCAGTTTCATCCCAGAATACCATACTACTACCACATGTAATTAATCTCCTCTTCATATCGAGTCCACAAGTGTACTCACTTTTTACTCCAAAGCAATAGAGATAAAAAGTTAAACTTGATATTAAAATAATTTTTATATTACCGCTTATTATTAATAAGTATCCCACAATAATGGCAATTAAAACATTTTTGAAACCAAATTTTGTCATAATCTCCTTATATAAGCTCTTCCCAAGTTCCATTAGAGATGTTGACATGTGTTCATATAATCTAAAATGTACATTTTGTAAGTAATCGATTGTGGTTTCGTATAAATGGGCTAGAGGTGTTTTTACATAGTTAAATGTTGTTGTATTCCCATTAATTTTATACATATTCTTCCCATTGGCTATTTTTATATTAATTATTCCTTGATTATCCCGTCCATCGAGTAGCATCCTTGCATGTATGGTTACACAATTTTCCATACAATCAATCTTAATCTGGCAGGGCCACATTGCTACTGTTATAGTGTATGCAATGTTTAAGATGTCTGTTGTCTTATCAACCAATTGTATAGTATTGATATGTTGTATTGTACACACAGGTTTAGTGGTATCGTAATGTAGATTTTCTGTTATTATAGTACAATAGTGTCAATTACATTAGTAACATCTATATTAGCCCCCATCTCACTGATATCGGTTGAAATAACTAATGGTTTTTTCGTTTCTTTAATTATTTTGTAATGGTTGTCAAACGTTAACCTTGTTAACACAATTGACTTGTATATTGATAATCTTGCGGCTAAAATGTTAGCTTGTCGTGCACTCTGCATAAATACAAGGGTATCTGTCGTTAAATTCTCCTTTCTAATATACTCTTCTATTTTTCCCTCAATGTATTTATCCATAATTGGATAGTTTGATTTACACCGTTGAACTGATCCAAAGGGAGTGGCTGTCAAATAGTACACTGATGCGATTCCTTTGGCGTAGATAGAATCCATTATTCCTCTCACGGCTATTGACCTTGGATATAAGAAATGTGCCTCATCCATTACTATTATGCGTGCCAGTCTTTGTAATTTTTCGTGCCCAGAATGTTATAAAAGTAGCGTGACACATTACCGTTACTTTGGAATTTTTTACATCATAAGTATGACTTCCTAGTCTTTCTTCAGGAAAAGTTTCTCTTAGAGCATTGATTACCTCATCTCGAACAACCCTTGTGGGTGTTAATACAATTAATCTCTTGCCTAATTGAATCGAATCTTTCGCTAAGGCTACTATGAATTTCCGCGTTTTCCCTTCCCTGGATACCAATCTATGACTTGTCTCTCCAAAACATTTGGCGTGCAAAACGTATCATAATCTAAGGATCGTAGAGCTTTTCCTACTTCTTTGAGCTGTCTACCTACCATGTCTTGTACAATTAAGGAGGCATAACCTTGGTAAATGGTTTTCTCGGAAGGCAACAAGCTGGTGTTGGTGTTATTAAAGATGGAGTCTTTAATACCATGTATCACGTAACGAAGGCTTTACCAATTAGAGTTGTCTCTGAAGAATATGGAGCAATTATGGTGGATAGCAGACATGATAGTGTAAGTTATGGTGGTGAATGGAACATAGGAGGATACAACGGAGATGAAAATGTTCAACTTGTCTTAGTTAATCCTAATAGTGCAGTCACAAAGCAACAATTATCAACCGGGAAAATAAGATTTGGTGCAGAACTTCAATGGTATACAAAGTATGATGGAGCTCCTGGGTCATCAGGATCACCCTTCATAAATGAAAAAGGGGAAATTGTAGGACTATTTGGCAAAGGATGGGAAACGGGAGAAGGTTTTGCCTCCTTAATTGTACAAGACATGGTAGGTAGACAGCTCAAAGAAGTAGGAAAAGCTCTACGATCCTTAGATTATGATACGTTTTGCACGCCAAATGTTTTGGAGAGACAAGTCATAGATTGGTATCCAGGGAAGGGGAAATTGCGGAAATTCATAGTAGCCTTAGCGAAAGATTCGATTCAATTAGGCAAGAGATTAATTGTATTAACACCCACAAGGGTTGTTCGAGATGAGGTAATCAATGCTCTAAGAGAAACTTTTCCTGAAGAAAGACTAGGAAGTCATACTTATGATGTAAAAAATTTCAAAGTAACGGTAATGTGTCACGCTACTTTTATAACATTCTGGGCACGAAAAATTAACCAAAGACTGGCACGCATAATAGTAATGGATGAGGCACATTTCTTAGATCCAAGGTCAATAGCCGTGAGAAGAATAATGGATTCCAACTATGCTAAAGGAATCGCATCAGTGTACTATTTCAGCCACTCCCTTTGAATCAGTTCAACGGTGTAAATCAAACTATCTAATTATGGAAAATACATTGAGGGAAAAATAGAAGAGTATATTAGAAAGGAGGATTTAACGACAGATACCCTTGTATTTATGCAGAGTGCACGACAAGCTAACATTTTAGCCACAAGATTATCAATATACAAGTCAATTGTGTTAACAAGGTTAATGTTTGACAACCATTACAAAATAATTAAAGAAACGAAAAAACCATTAGTTATTTCAACCGACATCAGTGAGATGGGGGCTAATATAGATGTTACTAATGTAATTGACACTATTGTACTATAATAACAGAAAATCTACATTACGATACCACTAAACCTGTATGTACAATACAACATATCAATACTATACAATTGGTTGATAAGACAACAGACATCTTGAACATTGCATACACTATGACAGTAGCAATGTGGCCCTGCCAGATTAAGATTGATTGTATGGAAAATTGTGTAACCATACATGCAAGGATGCTACTCGATGGACAGGATAATCAAGGAATTAATATAAAAATAGCCAATGGGAAGAATATTTATAAAATTAATGACGATTTTTTGAAAGTTACAAGTAACTGTAACTAGTTATATTTTTACCAATGTAACTAGTAACTGTAACTAGTTTACTTTAAACAACACTAGAAAAATGCCAATTTAATTTTTACAATAATAATTTTAAAAAAAATATACATTATTTTAAAAACAAAGTTTTTTATACTAATATTTAATAAGAATTTCACTTATTGAGTGTTTTTAAAGCAAAATTTTTATAGTAAAAAAAATGTGAAAAATTTATGTCTTCTATTCTAGAGTTTGTTAAAAAAGCTAGATTTTCCAAAAAGGCCCAATTAAGAATTTAGCTAAAATAATATTAGGTGAGCATGGAGATCTGGCAAATAAATGTCCAAGTATTTCTGCCAACTATGTGCACAAGCTTTAGGCTTATATAATGTTATTTTGGTTTATAATCTTAATCGGTCCGTTTTTTAAAATTGACCCAAACCGGGCTTTTTAACAACACTACCTCCATCTCCCTCCACTTTCTCTTTACTTGATAATCTTTTTAAAAAAATTTATATTTATAATTAGTTTAAGGTCAACTTCATGAATGTCAAAAAAATATAAAGGTTTATATAAGTTTTAAAATGGAGCTTTCATTTTTTTCCCCCTTCTTACCACTCGAGGGTAATAAGTAATTTTAAGGTAACCAGTAACAATTTTTATTTAATAACCTTCCGCATCTTCCTATTCGATGGATATATCTATCGGGAGACATTGGCAATTCAAAATTAATAACCATATCCGAGTTCTTGATATCAATGCCCCTGGACATGACATCAGACGTGATTAGAATTCTAAATTGTTCGTTCCTAAAATTTTTAAGGATCTCCAACCTAGTTTGAATTGGCTTTGTTTAACATAATATATAAAAAAATATATAATATATAGCTATAGTATGGATTTTTTTAATGATATTTAATAAAAACATGATTGGCAAGAAGGAAGGGCAAATAACTTAGATTATGGTGACATTGCCATAGCCTCCTAGCATAATAATCAGAGACCTACAGATCAGGCCCTATGCGCTGGTGTCATATTTATTTTAAATAGTCCTAAAAAAAATACGTGGCCCAAGATTAAAAAATTTTTTTTAATAAAAAAAACCAGGGGATTCTATATTTTATATCACCGTTAATCTGGGCGGGCCTGAATATATTAGAAATTTTTTTTTAAAAAAAACCTGGACCGGGCTGTGCACATGGTACTTGCAGGTAGTGTTGTCAAATGGCTCATTTTGAGCCAATTTTTTAAAACGGCTAACTCAATATTTTAGCCAGAAAAATATTGCCTAAGACTATATGTCTGGACCTTTGTTACTTCTATGACAAATCTCCAGGTTCGCGCAATACTTTTCTGGACAAAATATGGAGTTGGCCGTTTTTAAAAATCGGCTCAAAACGAGCCGTTTAACAACACTACTTGCGGGTCTCTGATAAAGATAGATAGCCAAAAAATTGAACATTTCTAAAAATCTAGTTTAACAGCTCAATTGTAAGCCAATGTTAAATTAAGATTTTAGCCAAAATAATACTATGTTGGCCTTAACTTTCTCCGCCATCCATGAAGCAAAATACCCAGGCCTGTATAATATTTTTTTGGCTAAAATGTCGGGCTAGCCCTTTTTAAAAATTGAACTGTTTAATAAATATCCAGTCCCAAGATAGAATGTTATATTGTATGCTTATCAATTCTGAGATAATTTTTATATTTTAAAATAACCTAAACAATTTATTTTAGAATACTAATTTTCCTTCACTTCTTTCTGGTCCTGCATTATAATTTAAAAAAAAATTACTGATTTTAATTTTCTTTACTTTTATTCACCATTAGATTTCTTACCCTAATTTACAACTTTATATTTATAGTTTTAATATTTTTTAAATAATAACCACCAAACACTTCCTCAGAGCTACAACATTCTGCTATGACCTTCTTAGCTTTAATAAAAATTCTTAAGGAAACACAAGTCTAAGAGGCCATTTGCTGCTTAGTGTATTTATATTCATTTTTTGTCTAAAAATTATTATTTACTTGTTGTGAACATAGCCAACGGCTAGTCATTTTAATTGCACCATTATTTGTTATTTCATCATTACAATCAGCCAGTTTATTTTTTAAATTATAAGCTTTAAATGCAGCCTGAATTTTGCGTAAATCTTTGTTATGATTGCAGAATATGAAGCATTGTTTAAAATCTATCGTGCTAAATAGTTTTATCACATATTCCATTTTTTTCTGAAACATATTCGAAGCTCTGACATATTTTTTGGAATTTTCCAATCTACTATGACTTTTAAAATTTTTGCCATCATGATCATCCAATAAATCATCTGTATCGGATATTTCATCTTCTTCAAAAATTTTAACATATTGTTTGACACCTTAATAAATCATTCATTAAGATAATAATATTGATTACCTAACCTTTTAATTGAACATCATCATCATCTATACGAATAATGAGGGGCATATTCATATATTTCTCATAAAATATTTTAATTAAGTGATTAGAATAAGTGGCGGATGTGATAATTATTTGTTTCGTTTTGGCAAGACTAGAATATATCCAATTGATCATTTCTTCATGTTCTTTAACCTGATGTCTTTATATATAAGCATAAAAAAATTATAATTCTACTCGGAATATTTGATCAACTTCATCAATTATAAATAACTTGACCATTTGCAAATTAATCAATTTTAAATACATAAAGTGTTTTATACGGGCTATAAAATATAATTTTAAAAAATTAAAAAAATATTAATATATTATTACATGGGGTTCCGATAATAATATGACTCGAATATAATTCTAATAGTTTATCATCTGAGTTCTCTTTATCTTTAATCTTATATCCTCCCACAAAACATGCAACTTTAAGATTGGAATAACCTTGACCTATATTCAGTATGGCAATTTTTATTTGAAAGGCTATTTCTCTTGATGGCACCAATATAATTACCTAAATTAAACGATTTTTTTAAATTAATGAGATAAAAAAACTATACCTGAGGAGATAAGATATCAAAATTTATAGTTTCGAGTGCAATTACAGTAAATACACAAGTTTTACCAGTTCCCGCTTTCGACTGAAGAATCAAATCTACTCCCATTCGACCAAGTGGAATAGCCTTTTGCTGTATTGGAGTAAGAAAATGAAATCCACACTTGAAGAGGCCTGTGATTGTCTCCGGAGATAAATGTAGTTTCTCGAAATTTGAATAATGTTCATTTAATTCTAATTTAACATCATCAGTTCTAGGTAAACTCTCAAAATCATGAGCCAATCTAATTCTAATTTTTTTAGCTGGAATTTTCATTTTAAATTATTTAGACCGAACCACATATTGTTATAAAAAAATAATAAAGAAATTCTATTAAAGTGTTATTATAGGATCGTTAAATATTTTAAGAATATAATTTTGAATATCAAAATATTATAGCTGGTAATATAATAAATTATAATATCATTAAATTAAAATATTAGGGCCTTTTAATTAACTACGAAAATAATTATGTAATAAAATATATTTCCTAACCCTTCACAACAATATTGTATCAATTAATTAAATTATTTTTAAAAAATTTAAAACTATAGTATTGAAAGCGTGTTTTTATTTATACAAGTGGAATACATTTTATATTGTTTTATAAAAAGCATTTATACATGTGTTTTTTTCATTTATTCTTCGTAATTATGTAACTATATTCTAATTATAAACTATAATATAATAAAAATGCTCATTATATAAAAACAAAATTGGGACTACAAGTTTCCAAAAAAATTTCAAATTAGTAATTTGAAGATTTTGTTTTTAAAAATAAAATTCCATGGGTAAGGGCTTTTATGTTTGTGTTGTTAAAGGGCTCGATTTTGAATAATTGCTAACTCAATATTTTAGCCAAAAATATAATGGAAGCCTCGAGATTTCGTTAATATATGTCCAAATCTTTCTGCCATCTATGAGTGAAATCTTCAGACTTGCATAATATTTCTGGCTAAAATATTGGGTTAACTGTTTTTAAAAATCGAGCCGTTTAACAACACTTAATATTTTACCTCCATCGTCAATATGACAAAATCTGTTCCCTGGATGAAAACCCCCTCAAAGGCTCCGTATAATTTATGCGAGTTCTTTAAAGGACGGGTCGTAGATCAACATGCAAAATGAATGAATAAATTAAATGAAGTTTGTATACTCTTATTGAACCGGAACTAATGTACCAAAATAAACGTTTGAAGTAAAAATTCGGCTTCTTTTTTCTTTCCTGTAGAAATTTTATTAATTCAAGATTTACAATTTCTTGTCGCCATACTTCAATCATCTGACCTTGGTGATCATGAATGGTTAGAATCACTCCCTAGCTGTAAACTTGGTAATTCTTATCAGACAAACAACTGAGAGTAGCCATGGGCCTGCATCTAGATTGTGTGACATCGTACAGCCTCATGCTTGCATCAAATGCAAATCACCGGTCGATTCAAAGGGTAGGCAGACTTTAATTGTATATTTAGTAATCTGCGACACCAATGCCACACAGCAATAACATGTAATAAATCGAGGTCTAACAGTCGCCCGCATTCCGAATCATAGCCCACAAATTTACCTCAAGTAGAAGACCTGATGGCATCTTAACCATACCTTGGGTCCTTAGAAAATCACCAATATGGGCTACACATGATTCTCTTCATTCTTTTCTAACATAAATATAATCCACTAAAACAGGTAACAAGTACAAGAATTTTAACAATTTCATATTCCCTTCAATAGTGACTTCCACAAACGGCCATTTGGGGTTATAAACATAGTTTTCAAAAAATCTAGGCAATAAAATATGGCCTATTACAAACGAAATTAGTGAATTTTTATATATGCGTCAAAATGTTCAAATAGAAATTTTAGACATAATTATGCTTCCTTTTGTGGAACTCAATTATAAAATTGTATTTTTGATTGTATAGTTTTTATTTATTTTATAGTATTTTAAATTGATCTTATATTGAAATAAAAAGTTTAAAAATTGAATTATATAAAATTTACCAAATTTAGTTTTTTATTTTAAAGAAGAATATTTATTTTTACAATTTTAATATCAAATTAATAAATTGAGAAATACAAATAAAATAAATAATTAAACTTCCTAATACAATTAATTTAATATTTATCTTATATTATGATTTATTTATCAAATAAAAATAATATATGTCAACACAATATTTATATATAAAAAAAAAAAAATTTCAAATATATATATAAAATATGAAATATAGTGTAAGATGATAAGAATTAGGACAAAAAGAGTGAATTTAGCGAAAGATCTATAGAGAGAAGACTGCCATTGAAACTTAGATAATTCGCTTTATGAATCGCTAGAGCAAGTCTCTGAATGAGGAAGCGTTCTCGCGGATCGCCACTATGCTTGCGGATATATTTATTTTAAAAAAAGAGAGAATTGAGAGTATATTCAATTGATAGCACTAGAGAAAAAAAATTTGGCCAAACATTTATTTAGTAGAAAAAAAACGAAAAAGCACCGCCTATTCATTTATTAGAATTAAATAGAATATTAAGATTATAAATAACATTTACATTATATTGGTCGGTATAACTTATGAGTGAGTCAGAAATTAAATCTTAATTTTTATAATGTTGTTTATGTATACTATAAAATTTAATTTGATACTATAATATTTTTTGAATAAATTTCTAAAAATTGCCTAATCAGCTAATATTACGCAAAACATTATTTTAATAAAAAAATATTAGTCTTAAATGAATGAAAAATAATTTTATATGTATATCTCATTAGCATGGCCAATTGGAATTGTATATTTATTGTAGACTTAAAGTATTACTCATTTAAACTTCTCCCCCAGTAAATGGGTTCAAGTAAATATTGTTAAAAATTTGGACTTTCAAAATAAATACATATATTATATAAAACTGAGGATTTAATTTTTGTTTATTTTTAAAAAATTTTATTAATTCTTTTCATTTAAAAAATGCAAATTTGTTTTGCTATCCTTCCTTTCATCATAAATATTCTCAAAGTAGATGGGTATCATAGTAAAGCTGATTTACCCGATATTCAAGTATTTGGTAAGACATTCTGCATTTTTTTATATTTTAAAAAGTTTAATACTTAACTCCAACAAAAAAAAATATATTAAAATCCCCCATAGTAGGCGCCATTTTAAAAAATATTGGTTCCACTTTGTCCAGGCTTACTGTATACGAGCTGGGACACGGCGAAGTTTGTGTGGTTTAACATGTAAATTATTTTCAACCAATCACATTTAGACCCCACGAATATAAGATTCAAAGAAAGAATAACTGCGTCATTTATGCTTGATTCATATCGGACATAAATCATTATTATTACTTATAATAAGAAGCAAAACAGTATATATGAAATATGAGGGCTTGGCATAATCTACAAAACTTGTATTTTTTTTAGTTCTGTAATACTCATTTTATAAATAAATTAGGATTCAAAATGGAAGTTTGTAGAGTTTTAAAGGAAAATCTTCCAAAAATATTTTTGATCAAATTTTACTTAAAAATTGTAAATATTTTGTAAATTTTCATGTATAAAATAAATCATTTCGAGATGAAAATTGCAAATTAAAAAAGAATACTATTTATTTTAAAGATTTAATTAAAACTCTGGGAAGATGCTAATCTTTATTCGCATTATATTTTAATGAAAAACAAAATTATGTTCCTAGAAAGGAACAATGGTTAAATTTAAAAATATTTCTTGTCTAAGGAATATTAATTCTCTATGCTCAAACGTTAACATTTTTCATTATGTGGGCTAAATTTTTAAATGTCAAGTAGCTAATAGCGAGAATATAAATATTATTACTAAACACTTTAACATCAGCACAAATGCCATTCCTAATAAGGAATTACTTTGTGATCTTACAGCATACTGGCGCCAAAATACATTTTCTTTCTAAAAAAGTATGGTATACGATGTCAGAGATCCATTTTGAACCAAAATTTTAACTGCAAAAATAAATTGTTTTTCGAGGAATAATAAATTGTTTTAAATATTTTTTCACTCTCAATTATAAAAAGCATAAAAGAAAGAAAGAAAGAAAGAAAGAAAGAAAGAAAGAAAGAAAGAAAGAAAGAAAGAAAGAAAGAAAATATCCATACAAAACCGAAAATGTACCAAATAATAAAATTTATTTTATAAGTATCAATCTACTGGATATTAAATTTCTATCAGTTTAAATAAAGAATATAATTTTAAAAAAGTTATTGGGTATTTTAAATCATCATAATCGCTTAAAATCGAACGGTATAATACAGAATTAAAAAAATTATTTATCTATATACATCCAGGCTAAAAATTTTTTACTTAAAAATAATCCGTCTTACAATTGGTTGGGGTAAGTCTCCAAAAAAAAAGAGAAAAACATTGGGTTAATTTGACATTTTTTTTTTAGTATTTAATATTTTTAATTATAAAATGACTAAAAATTTTTAATTTTTTTTAAGATACGCATCGTTGGTCAGTGTACAATTTAAATATTTACCCCTTTGCTAACGGCATATTTGAAAGGACGTATTCAGTGCATGCCAATTTCTCTTATCCACGAGGGTTTGCCGAATTATACAAGAAATATCCAAATTTTACGATGTTTTATAGAGTTTGGGAAGTGACATCTGGGGATCCTGTCATGTTCAATCAAAACTACATATCCAGGGTATGTCTTTCAGGATTTCGTGTTTTCACTCTTTTTATGTTAATTTTTATTTGTCAAGAATCAATTTTCGATACGTGATTTGAAAGCGATGAAATTGTATTTTATTCGAATATTTACGATCACAACGAATACAGTTTTGGAAAATTTTTCGACTCTAAGATTCTTTATAAGTATATATATACAGAATACTATTATGCAAGCCTGATTTTGTTTGTAGAAGAGGTTTGGGCATCCTTTAGCTAAATCTCGAGACTAAAGCAATATTTTTCTGGCTTAAAATATTGTTTTGAGCCGTTTTTAAAAATCGGCTCAAAACGAGCCGTCTATAACAACACTAGTTATAACATGTCATTTAATATAAATTATTTGATCAATTTTAGATAAGGCGTTAATCAATATCGTATTTCCTCCATTATTGAATCACTGAGTTGAACTTTGTTAAGAAAAAAATTCCAATAAAATTGATATTTATATTATAATAAATTTTATTTTTTTTATTTATCTAAATATAAAAATATGGCTGAGCATATTTGGAGCTTTTTGAGTGATCGAATGATTTAAGGCTGCATTCAAAGTGGAGACATATCCGTTTTTTTACATCCGTTCCGTCAAAAGTCAATCTCATTACAAATGATATATATTTTCATAGTGGGTCCTTTCCGATACCTTCCGTCTTAAAAACGCATCCGGCAAATTTTGAAGTCAAAACATTTTGACCTTTCGATCCGGCAAATTTTATAGAACGTTATAACCTTACTTGTAATTTTTTTAAAAAATAAAAATCAATATAATATCATTTTTAATGAGATCGACTTTTGACGGAATGGATGTAAAAAACGGACTCCACTTTGAATGCGGCCTTAGCATTTCTCCAATAAATAATCGGAAATTAACATTAAATAATTAAATATTTCTATCGATCTATCTCTCAAACGCTACTCCCATTGGGTTCCTAGCATAGATTTTACAACAAACAAATAAATTCAGTAATATTTGTAATATTTTATAAGATAAGAACGGGCACCAGCAAAAGATATCCGAAGTGCTCATATTAGGTAATTATTATTATTATTATTATTATTATTATTATTATTATTATTATTATTATTATTATTATTATTATTATTATTATTATTATTATTATTATTATTATTATTATTATTATTATTATTATTATTATTATTATTATTATTATTATTATTATTATTATTATTATTATTATTATTATTATTATTTATTATTATTATTATTATTATTATTATTATTATTATTATTATTATTATTATTATTATTATTATTATTATTATTATTATTATTATTATTATTATTATTATTATTATTATTATTAATGTATACGAAAATATAACTTTTTTTTTTTACATAGACCATTACCCGTTTGTTCCGTCATTGTATTTGACGTGGCATAAATTAGGAAACAGATCTTATTCATTGATTCTGAACTTGAATACAACATATTCAAGGGATCATATTGATTCTTTCCAATTTATTATAGAGAAGAATAATCATCCGATTGAAACAAGACGCTTGAATAAGGTTTGACAGGAAGTAGGAATGAATTGATTTTTTTAAACTATCCAACAATAATAAAAAATTTTTATTGCTCCCCAATAAAAATAGGAGTGGATTAGTAAATGTTTAAATATAATCACTTTTCAACCTTTAAGAATTAAAGAGGAAAAGAAAACTCATGTTCTATGAATTTAATATATTTTTTTTGAATTGACAGTTAGCCCCAATCATACATTAAATTAATTCTCTCTCTCTTATTTTTGTGTCTATAGATTATGAATGTATTAATTAATAATAGTAAACGATTAGATTACATAGGATAAATCATATTATTTTAATATTCAGGATTGCGAACAAGTCTTTTTCAATGTTGCATACGAGCCCCGGTCTGATTATATCATCAAAGTTTACACTGTGTTTGATAGCTATTACAAGATGGCGAGCGAATACTCGAATCGAATATTTTTCCAATTTTCGCAAAATATCATGGCCAGTTTGCTCTATAACGGAATCAGATTATAATTTATACATAATGCAACCATGGGATAATAACTGTTTCTTCATTAGTCTTTGAATTTTTTTTATCAATTTGTAAATAAAAAAAATAAAATATTGTATGACTATTACATACCTATTTTGGGGGAGAGGAGGAGGGGGGGGGGATTATTTTATGTTATACTTCAACTATTATATGAGTGATATATATTTTAAAGCCTAAAATAATAGATTCATTTGGTAACTTTTCTCAATATATATATATATAGCATGGTATTAAGTTAGAAATAAATCGCAATCGCGTATCGCGTCTAAGTTTTGTATTATTTTTTTTATATCTAAACCCATTTTTATTGATTATTTATTGCGCATAAGTGCCTAGGTATTATGGCATATAATTTATAGTTTATTGTTTCCAGGGATATCTGATTACGATTCAGAGGAAAGATGATGAAATTGTTTTAGGTATAAAAAAATATTTATAATTTTGTATTAATAACAGGAGGAACATAAAATTTATATTATTTGGGAAATATAATAGAAGGATAAAGTTTTCTGGAGGGTGCATCTTCGGCATGATAATTAGTTAAAGATTAAATCTATTATAGTATTCACATAGTAATTTTCTAAAGATTTTGAGAGGAATTGGGAAAAAAAGAAATAGACTAATCTTATTAAGGACTGCTGGCTCTTCGGTTTTTGGTTAAAAATTTTTTAAAGGTTTTGTTCCATTTCCGTTTTTTTTCCAAGAAATTCATATAGGTTCGGTTTATAATTTATAATCACGGTTCTTTTCTGTTCATTCCGATTTTTATAAGTTTGATTTTTTTCAAAAAAAAATTAATAATAAACCATATATATTAATCCTAGAGTAAAATCTTTTTAATTTATAGAATTCCCTTAATTAATATAACCATTAAGATTATTTAGCAAAGGTTTAGACATATTATCAAAATTTCGAGGCTTAGTTAATTTTTCTCTAGCTAAAATATTGAGTTAGCCGTTTTTAAAAATTTGCTCAAAACGAGCTGTTTAACAACATTAGCTAATATGCTTGCTTATTAAATGACAATACTCTTCGAAAAATATGATAGAATACCAAATAGGTTATACCAGTCGAATATAATTTTAAAAAATTCCGAGCCGGGCCTATTTTTTAAATCCGGGCCGATCCTAAATAAACCCGGGCTGGGTTGTAAAAAAATTTTGAAAAAAATTTTTGGGCCAGGCCGGAATTTTTTTAGTCCGGACCGGGTTGTGCAAATGGTGCCTTTGCAGGTCTCTTATATATATATACGATGTTAGACATGAAAAAGACATAATAAAAATAATGTTAAAATAGGTTTATTTTAATACTTTTACTTAATTAACAGATATCTACCCGCTTTAGTATAGTGGACGTTAACACTATGTAGTCAAGTATAGAAGAGAGGAGTAAATTAGTTATATATTAGTTCCGTTGCCCGTAGAATAGTGTTAAAGTTGAAATGTCATGTAATTATATCACAAAAGTAATAATGTACCTGACCCACGATTAGATTATTTTAAAAAAGAAAAATGATTCTTATGTTTGACTGATGTTGTCTCTATGTTTATATGGTGAATGAAACTCTTTCCTTTGCCCAAGCTCCAGAGGTTTCTGAGACCTCCAGTAATGCATAGCCGGTTCCTAACTATCATTATCATCATTATTTTAAATTTTATCTTTAATTGTTATTTGTTTATCTATATGGTGTGTCCCAAAGGGGAAAAATGATATAAATCTTGTGTGTATATATAGTTTGTTTGTGCTAGGCCAAATGGTGCCCAGGATTTTTCTATATTATCTCTATCATTATAGTGAATGATATACGTTATTATTGTCATCATTTTTTATTCTTATTCAATCTTTAATTGTTGTAATATGTCGATATCTGTGTCCAGGAAAAAAGAGAGAGTTGTTATACATCATCATCATTCTTATGAATTGTTATATTTAGTTTTGTTTAATGTCCCACAAAATATATATAACACAAATGTAAAATTTTGGGAAAATTGCCAAGTGATTATATTCTCGAAATATAAACATTTCCTTTTTTCATATAGCTATCCTTTAAATATAGTTAAAATCTATAAAATAGGTATTATTAAAAATAATATCATATAATATCAATATATATATTAAGCGATATATGAAAATTGAATAAAAAATATAAACTGAGATATATTATAATTGATAAATATATTATTGCCAGATAAAAATAGGAAGGGATTTGTAATAAAATATATAGTAAAAATTCTTATTATTAAGCGGTTTCATTTGTCACAAATAAAAATAAGTCAGGTTAAACTAACAAGATGAATAAGATTCAGCATATTAATCACTATGTCCAAAGCGGATATTTTAAATTTCGAAAAAATATTAGCATTCCGCCCCCCCCCCATTTCCACCCGCCACCAAAAGTATATAAAATATTACGATAAACAATAATAAAAAAAACATTTATAAAAGTTAATATTTTTAATAATGTTAACTCAAAGGAAGATTTAACCAGACCAAAGACTTAATAATGTTACCCTCCTCCCTTAAAATTCCGACTAACTTAGTAATTGGTAGTCCACTATAATTCAGCTCTAAATAGTGTTGCATATGATAAAATTTATAAAATCTTATAGAACAAATTGATGCATAATTTGAATAATATTGATTGTTATATACTCCCTTGCGCATGTTCTTGGAATTGATGCTTTATATTTGGTTTTGAAAACCCAGAAAATATTTTTAATTGGGTTCGTAGATAGGTACAATCTGTAAATTGATACCTGGTTTATCTGGAAAATATAAATTTGTGGGGTATGTTTAGTCGTCTTTGGCAATGCCTAACGTTTGATAGCCGATTCGTTTTTTACCAGTTCCTTTTTAGACCATCGAAAATTTTTGATGTATTTTCTTATGGTTTCCATATTTTTGGCTAACCAGAAGGAACGCAAATTCTTAATAATATATTTAACAGTAGGTATTATTAACCATAATAGGTCCATAATTTGTTGTCTATATTTTATATATTATTGATCTTTCTCCTTCCTTGTTAACTTGTGACTTTTAATGCTGGCCATTAATTTCTGGAAATATATTTCGCTTTATTTTGTGAACAGCAAATTTCTTACTTTAGCTAAAATTTATTTATTAAATCTAATACTAATACTTAAATCTTAACAATGACAATGTTTAGCAAATTCCTACTTATGATCTATCCTGACATCTGTTTTATATATTTTTTTAAAATTTAAGAAAGACTTATATGGATGAAAATAAGTTGACAAGAAATTTAGTTGATGGGATAACCAACCATATATCTTTAAATGACATTCGCATATTAATAGCATCAGGCGCTGATGTTAACGGAATTGTAAGTCATGGCCTTCATCCTTTACATTTTGCTATTTATGAAGGGGATTATGAATGTGCACGTTTATTATTAGTAGATTAAGAATAAATATATTATTACAATAGTATTCATAGATAAGGGGCTGCGATGTTAATGCATCAGATGCCATTGGCTATACAGCTTTACATATGGCAGCTGAAAAAGGCCATTTTCATATTGTCAAACTTCTTATAGAGTTTCAAGCAAAAATTACATATTTGCCTCAGAATTCAAAATTAAATATAAATGGTAAATTTTATTTGTTATAAATCCTATCAATACATTTTATAAATCCATAATTATTTTATATTTTTTTTAAATAGATTTACCACTATTTAGTTAATTAAACATTTCAACCATAATTGCTTTATTCCATTTAATCAAATAATTAATATCACATAAAAATAATTTAAAATAAATAATACAATTCTAAGAATATTTTTATTTTAGATAAAAACTGCAAAGAAATTGGCCAAGAAACACTTGATATATCTGAAGTTAGTAGTAGAGATGTACTTCCTGGTGAAATTATTGTTGAAGAACCATTACGATTAGCTATTAAAAATGGACATTATGCAATTGCTAATTTTCTGCTGAATAATGGGGCTAATCCTAATCAACGCTATTTTTTAGGTGATTTATTTCTCAAATTATTTAGTTGCTTTTTTTTATTTGACAATGTTTAAATATAGTAATAAAAATAATATAAAAATTTAGTCCACCTAAAAACTTGAAGAGCTTTTTTTAAAAACATATCCATTTTTTAATATGAAAAGTGTGGCAATGAACAGGTTTAGGAAAATTATATTCAAATATTTACAGGGATGTGAACCCTTCAACAAAAAAAGGGTCCAGGTTTGGGTCTGGTAATAACTTTAAAAAGGACCCGGGTTCGGGTCCGGGTTCAGAGGAAACATAAAAATAATGACTCAAAATAAGACTTTTTTTCATTCATTTTTTATTATACTTCAATATATACACATTTATAATTCGAAATGAGATAATTTATATTTTAAATATTTTATTCAATCGCACAATCATGATATCTTCTAAAATATCATCCTTCAGATTTCCACGTAAATTAGTCCACGATGAAAATCCACGTTCTACGCTTACTTAAAATAGATAGTCATTTTTATAATACATAAATTATTGTACTTGTGTCGCCGGTACAGCCATGACGATTCTAGAAAAGGTATATAATTCTGGATATATTGAAGAATTTTCCTCCCAGAATTTTAAAATGTTTGCATCTCTATTTATTCTCATAACTTCCGAGAACTTTTCTATTAAAGATACAATAGATATTTTTTGCTCCTTTCTATCAGATGATAATTTAATATTTTTTTATCTATCTAATATTAAAATTTCCAGATCATCAATATCGTTATCATTATCATTGTTATCGCTACAACCAGTAGATATTGTTGTAACCACCAATGTATTGTAAATAATAGAGTTTTGGGTATGCCATAAATCTTCAAGATGGTCAGCCATTTGTTTTTGCTCACTACTTAATAAAACCTGATATCGCGGGTCTAAATATATCGAAGCATATACAACACTATTTTGTAAATATTGTTGCTCTCTTATTTTCGTATTTTCTAATACTTCATTTGAAAAAGAACTTGTTAATCTCCCTAACTCTAATTGACATCTTAACCATATGCCATAAAAATCCGATAAACATAATTGTTCAGCTTGCACTCTTAATGTTGTTATTTTTAAAGGAACCAGCACACTAGTAAGCTCTTTTACTTGATTCCAATCATCTTCTGAAAAAATGATTTCACATGCTCCTATGATAAAATCATTACAGAAATCTTTCAAACTTAATAATCGCTCTAGCATCATACACATAGAGGACCAACGTGTTGTGCAATCTAAAATTGCCATTTACCTTTTCATGGATTTTAATATTCTAACAATTGTGGGAGTTCTTAAATATTTTACAACATCCCTTGCTTTATCAATTATAGTTTTAAAGTGACTATTTTTTAGGGAGATTCCATGAAAAAAATTAATAAAATTATATAATTTAACACCCTGAACCCTTGGACCCTCCACTTTTTAAAAGGGTCCAGGTTCAGCCAAAATACGAGGGTTCAGGGTCAGGCTTCACATCCCTGGATATTTAGATGCTTTTTAAAAATTTTATAATCTTGGTTTGAATTTCAATAAGATAGATGATACTGTATCTTTTTTAAAAAAGGTATTGACAATAACAAAATACACATTTGAAAAAAAAATCTAAAAAAAAACTTAATTTATCAAACCGATTCTTTTTTTCTAAATATATATATATATATATAGGACTATATAAATGTAAAATTTATGTAAATAAACTATGGTAGAAGATAGACTAATTTGCTATACAAAATAATTAGATATAAAGATATAATTACATATTTTAAAAAACTGTATATTAAAGATGAAAGAAATTTTTTTCCCAAAAAATCTTAAACACATCTTTTAAGATCACAACATAAAAGATTCTTTTTTTAAAGAAGATCAAAAAAATTTTTGATTTCAGAAAGATTTTTTGTGCATAAAAAAAATCACAAAAGATTTACAAAAAAAAAAGATTTGGAATTTCAGGTAAAATTTGAGTAAAAATCCTGATTCTAAAAAAAAATCTTCAGAGATCAAAAAACTTTGAAGAGTATTTTAAACTTCTTATAATCATATTTTTAATTACAGGTTCGGAGATTAATTTGATAGATCCAATCAAAGATATCGAATATCTAGAACTGCTTCTTAAATATGGCTCTGATCCTAATGTGAATGATAGATCCGGGATAAACCCACTAATGCAGGCTTGCAGATCCAAGGGTAACAGCCTAAACGCGATCAAATTACTGGTGGAGCACGGGGCTGACGTCAATTCCAGATCGCATGCCCGATTAGATTTCAAGTAATGAATCAGAATAATACTTATATTAAACAAATATTTAAAAAAAATATACATATGATAATATATATTTTAGCACGATTTCTGACCATGACTCAGACCAAAAAATTTATTCTTCGCCAATTTTCATAAAGTATAAAGAGCTTAAAAAAGAAAAACAGGAACAAAAATGGGAAATTTTTTTGATTTATTTTGGTTGCCTAGTCCTACTTCTGACCTTGATTATTACAAACCAAATACATATATCAATTAAGAAGTAATAGGAAGATTTCAGTTGATCTTACATCTTAAATAGATATTTATTATTCATTTAAGGAATTTAACGATACTTTAATTTGTGGGACAATTTATGGTAAATGTGTCTTTATGATTCAATATTTCTTCTCTATATCTGACCATAAAAAAAATTAGAAATCAGGTGGACGTAGATTGAGCTTACCAATTTCATGCTATAGAGACCCCCCTCCCATAACACATTTTTTTGTCAAAAAAAACGAGTAGCAACGGCCCTCTAGGCTCACCTAATCCAACGGAGCTTAGGTGTCCTACCTTTCTGGTGAGACTTTAATTTAAGATGGATATGTTAATTGACTTAAAATATTACTCCAACCCCCTCTCCCCCACCCTACCCCACACCCCCCCCCCCCACCAAATCTTAATGACGCGATAAAGGAGGTCTCTGAACTGTGGTATTGCTGATGCCTTTATTTTATATTTCGAAGAAGAAGAAAAAAAAAAGCTTATTGATTAAAAAATTATTTTTTTTTGTATTTAACACATGTTTTAAAAAAAATAAATCAATAAATAATTATTCACAAGATTGAAATATGCCACGTCACTGATTGTGTTTTTTTTTTGAAAAATTTCCTATTCACATTTAAGAAAATGGCGGGAAAACAATTGTAGCCATTGTTCGGCTATTAATAAAAATGGCTACCAAAACAAAATTCAAGATATATTTATCATTTTAAATAATATATTTTTAACAAATTAATTAGATTTAAAAAAATAATTAATCAGATTATTTAAAATAAAATTAAAAATTTCGCATTATTTATCATACAACGTGTTAAATAGCGCGCTAAAAATAACGCGCGAATTATTATTTATCTTTTTTTTTAAACTTTGGCGGTAGCGAGCTTTTTTATTTTTCTGGAAAAAAAATAACTTTACTCTGCATTCGCGGTTCAAAAAGTAAAGCGTATTTTGTATAATCCGCCTCGAATCCGCTTTATTATGTATTCTCCGTCGCGGAATTGGCTATAAAACTGGGAGATATTTATTTATCCTTAAATTAGATATTTGTAAAGTCGTCTTTTAGGTTTGTTATTTATTTTTTTTTTAAATATAGTTGTTAGACCACTATTTTATATATAACAAAAATAAACTAAAAATCCATATTAACTCACTGCCTAACAGCAGCTCCACCCTTCAGAAGAAATCCTCTTCCTCCCTCTCCGCGTCCGACAGAATAAAATCCAAGGAATCTCCCAATGTTCTCGGCCACTGGGTTAGGGTTAGGGTGAGCCGTTTGCCGAGTCATCAGGGGTATCGAGCCCCTCTGAACCAATTGCCCAATCTTCATCTAACACGCCCCATCACTCTTGTCTTCTTATGCTCTCCTCCGGCAGTAAGCCTCCATCAGCCAACTCCCTCTATGCTTCTGTTTCACTTTTCATCCTGTTCCCGTTCTAAAAGACCCACATGCTGGCCACCCGCGTTCCTTCCCTGATCAACTTCCGCAATTCCCGCAGTCCCTACGCCGCTCCACCGTCGCTTGTGGTCTGGGTTCCTCCAATTCCGTCACATTCCTCCCCTTATTTGTTCCGAGCCCTCCGAACGCCATGATTCGGGTATTCCCACCCTCATTTGCTCCACCATTCCCATATCTGTCTGCTCCCGTCTTGGACACGACCGTCGGATGTGCCACCACTCCCCACATCCGTAACACTGGAGCACATCCCTGTGAGCCCCTCTAGGATCATCCAATCTAATTCTCCGCACATTTCCTAATTCTCCCGGCCGGTGTGGTCCTAACGCTCTCCTTGGTGAGAATCCATGCAACGTCGTCCGCCTACGCGTTATTATGAAATGGACTTCAAAATCTTCGAATACCCAATTTCCCCGCATGTTGGTTGGCTTTGTTTACTTTTATAATTTACATATACAATATCTAATACCCTCTCACTCTCGCTACCCATGAATTCTTCCGCCTTCCACTTTTTTATAACTCTAATTCCTACATGACTCGATTACCTTTTATTAACGGACTTATTTTCCTATATTTTTAATTTGATTATTAAAAATCCTAGAAGAATATATTTTACTATAATTCTTAACTCAATTATTTTTCTCCTTAAAAAAAAATTCCAAAAGAATTTATTTTACTACATTCTTAATTTAATTAATTTTTCTCTTTATTTCTTTGACAAAAAAAAATCCTCAAAACTATTCCAAAGTAAAAAAAAAAAAACATTTCTACCAACAAACTACAAAAAAAAAAATTCAACCAAAACTAATTTAATATAAAATTTTACCTTGAATAATACGAATTATATTTTTCAATTCAATTTCAAAAAAAAATTTGGAATGATCCTAGAGGGGCTCGCACGGATGTGCGCCAGTGTTACGGATGTGGGGAGGGGGGGCACACCCGACGGTCGTGTCCAAGACGGGAGGAGACAGATATGGGAATGATGGAGCAAATGATGGTGGGAATACCCAAATCATGGCTTTCGGAGGGGTCGGAACAAAGGGGGAGGATTGGAATGTGACAGAATTGGAGGAACCCAGACCACAAGCGACGGTAAAGCGTAGCGTAGGGACTGCGGGAATTGCGGAAGTTGATCAGGGAAGGAACACAGGTGGTCAGCCTGGAAACGGGATGAAATAAGTGAAACAGAAGCGTTGAGGTAGTTGGCTGATGGAGGTTTACTGCCGGAGGAGCGCATGCGTGTTAGATGAAGATTGGACAATTGGTTCAGAGGGGCTTGAAACCCCGGATGACTCAGCAAACGGCTCAGAGTGGCCGATAACATTGGGGGATTTCTCGGATTCTATTCTGTCGGACGCGGAGAGGGAGGAAGAGGATTTCTTCTTGAAAGGTGGAGCTGCTGTAGGTTTATTTTATTTTTGTTACAAGTCGTCTTTTTGGTTTGTTGTTGTTTATTTTTAAATCGGCATTTGTAAAAAAAAAATAATAAATAAATAATAATTTTTGTCGTAATAATTGGAAATATACATATAGCATTATAAATTTGTCAAAGATGAAATAGATAAGATAAATAAGTGACCCCAACGACATTATAACTATTACTGAGGATAGTCTTGTCAATCGATAATATTGACAGGAAATCTGATTTTTCCTTCTCACCAAGATTCGAAGGAACATTTTATACTAAATAAGATTTGTGCTGATTTATCTATCTTAAATTTTTAGGCCCAACTGACAATATATTTACTCTTGCTGTGTTAAACCAAACTATGACTTAAATAAATGATAGAATTATTAAATGATCGGATTCACCATGAAAGACGTGTTGGTTCTGATCTCAAAGTAAATCACCTTCTAATCGATTTAAAAAGAAATGATACCGATACTATAGAAAATACAGACTCGTGGCTATTTTTTGATCGACTATTTAGCCAAACTAAGCTAATATTTAGGTGATTTGCAACTCAAAGGATGAAATGTAGAAAATGATTTTGTCATTAAAATGATAGCGTATTAGTGATTACCTGCCAATCTGGGTAAACCTGGAACCCGCCATCAAACGGCGAATAAGAATAGTAGTGATTGGGCTTATTTTTAAATATAATAGATCAGAGTTAGAAATAAAAATCTTCAGCCTTTATTCCTGGTGCCACTTATTTTTGATACTTACAGATATTTTAGCCTAAGCTAAATAACTTTTTTTAAGGCTGTTGAGTGATAATTCTAACCAGGACGGCCTCAAATATTTTTTGCACCCATCCCCCTTGCCTGTCTCATGAGCCCGTTCGATTTTTTTAAAAAATGGCTTTATAAGTCCTTGTGTGCATGAGATGACTATCATATTATAGCAACAAACATTTTTTACGAATTTTATACTTATATTTTCATTGGTTATTTACCAGAACACCGCTGCATTACGCTGTGATAGGTGGTTCCATACCCGTAATCGAATACCTTAGCCAATCCGGAGCGGTGTTTAACTTGCCCAGCGATTACGATTGGGCCACCCCGCTCGATTTTGCTATACTAAAAAATAGCCCCGATTTAGTCGAAGCTCTCATGAGGTTAGGAGCCGATCCTAACAGATGTTCCGATCACATAGGCACCTCCCTACACGTAGCCTGTTCCAACGAGCTCAGTAATCAAGAAAGGATTATCGAGATCCTTCTAAAATACGGTTTATATTTTGTTTTTTATTATTTTTTATTATTAATAAAGTAGAACACTAGGAAAGTAGGAATAGGACGAGAGTTAGAAAAAAATTTATGATTTTATTCTATAAAATGAATGAGGTCCCCCACTACATCATTCTGCCTCATTTGGGGCAAGCCACTTTGAACCTTTTTCAAAACAATTTCGAAATCCACAAGGAAAAAAACACATGTTTCCTTTTTTATAAAACTTAAACAAAACATTGCTATCACCAATAACTCGCTCCAATTATTTAATGTTTAAAAATTCTTTGGCCATAAATTATTTCACTTTCTCATTTTTTAATTTTTTATAGATATTTGTTCTCTTTTTTTAAATATTGTTTCTATTTTGATATAAATATTTTTAAAAAAATCATAATATGATATTCGCTTTATTAGAGATTTATGTAAAATTAAATTAATTCAATGTTAACTACCAAATCACAGAAATTGGACATTTTTGGCTAACCATATAATATATTTGTATAATAATATAAAACGACTTATAATAAATAAAATTTTTATATTTAAAAAAAAACACAATTATATTCTACTTTTAAGGGGCCGATCCAAATCTTCGATGTTATAACAAGGATGACCAATACTTTTGGACACCCCTAGTTGAATACATCAACATAAACGAAAACAAGACCTTACATTTTGTTCAGCTCCTATTGAATTACGGTGCTCAAGCTGTATTCAGGCTTCCGTATTTAGATAATAGGTTTTACAATAATGTTTTATTAACTAGTTATACATATTACTAGAGTTATTAAATTTAAGCTAGTATTGTTAAACTAAATATTAACAGATAACTAGTAGCTATTATGGCATTGACTAGCTAATTTTTTGTAACTTATAACTTTTTCAAAACTGTAACTACAACTAGTTTTACTATTGAAAAATTTTCACAAATTACTAAATTTTAAAACCCCCATAACTGGAATCAGGTTACCTACAAATCTAATGAAATGTATCTTAAACAATTGAAAAAAAAAGGAGAGAAGAAAATTTTAAGTATTAAAAAAATATATTCTTAATTTATAAATAAGTGTGTTTTTCTCATTATTATTATTAGAGACATGCAAAAAGTAGGCCTGGCCCTGTTCGAACGGGCTTCAGACCTGGCCTAATAATCTTTAAAAAAATTTCTGGGCCGGGTGTTAGGCCTTGGAATTTTGCTTAAAAAAATTATATCTAAATTTATCAATTTTATGTTGAATTTTTTTTAAGTAAAATAAAATTATGCCAATTTTATTTTATAGAAACATGGCGTATATCTTTTATTTTGAGTAATTATAATTATTTAAAAAAGAATTAATTTCTATATTTAAATAAATTCGGGCCAGGTCTATAAAATTTTTTAAAAAAATCGGGTTCGGGCCGGGTCGGTTAAACCTTTTTAAAGAAATGTCGGGCTGGGCCGGGTTTGAAAAATTAGGCCCGATACTGATCAATGACTAATTATTATTCAATAAAAACACCTTAATTTTTTTTTAAAAGAGGCCTACTAAAATGTTTGCACAAATTGAATCAATATCCTCAAATATTCCGTCTAATCTTGGAGAACGGACAAAACTTTGACGTGGAGTCTATAAAACGTCGTCGTTTAATGTCGCCGCAACACAAGTCCTTGCTCTTATCGTCCGTTTACGCGCCTAAATCGCTGAAACATTACGCGAAAATATATATCAGGCAAAACCTGAAAACGAATATCCTTTCAAAAATTAACTCTTTTAATATACCCACGACTCTTAAATTATATCTTTGCTGTTTGTAAATATTTAATGGATGGAAGAAAAAAAAGTATTTGAAATCGCAATATTCTTATTATTTATTATTCTTAAGTTCTGCTTATATTTAAATGATAAATTATTATTTTATAAGAGTTGTATTTAATATATATAATGTATAATAAATTATTTATTTTATTTACCATATAATAGATTAGATTATCATATATATATTTTTTTGATTGATGTATTTTTGTAAAAATTATAAAACATTTAGAAATTTTTTTATCTTTTTTTCTCATATTTTTAAGTTTTAACAAGCGATATTTAAATTAGCCCTTCAAATAAGTCATTAGAATTTGATCATTCTCTTCCCATTTCTCCATAAGGATCGTGTTCTGTTTCAACTTATTTTAAATTTTATTTCTGTTTAACTTAGGCTAAATAGCTTTTCAACTTTTGACACCATGTTTTAGTTGTTGTTTTAAGTGATTGGTGGCATTGTTATTTTTTGTTTTTCTTTCTCTTACTTTTTAGGCCGCAGTAATAAGTCGAGCCAGGGCACACCCTAACCCCCACTGTTTTTTTATACCTACACCTGGAATCCATCTTTATATGCAAGGTTATGGCAATTAATTTTTTTTATAAATGTACTGACAAATTCACTCGATTATCGAAACGTTTAATTCGAATCTTTAGCTTAATTTGTTTGTTCCTTCTGGCATCGTTCTCTCGGGAAATGTAAATGATGAACAATAATTTATATCCGGGGTGAAATATAATAATTTATTACAAAAAAAAAATAATGGAGGCGAAAGTTTAAAGGATAGCTGTTTGGTGTGCTACCAGGGCTATGATACGCCTAAATGTTTATTACCCAACACAATAAATCAGCTGCTCCCATCAGATACTATTTATCATAGGCCTACAGATGTACCAATCGCATGGCCCGGATTTTTTTCGACCCGGTCCGGATTATTTAATAATATAATATTATTTTTTAATTTTTATAGCCAATTATGGCGATTTCAAATATTTGATTTTAAAATATATGGCCGGTCAAGATATTTTTTTAAAATAATGTAAAATCCGGACCGACCCGTGTACCCGGGTTTAAGGCCGGGCCTGCAGGTCCCTGCTGATTATAATAAGTAATAACCGCTACAAAGAAAAAATGGATTTAAATCCCATAAAATGTTCTTAATAGTTTATTTCTAAACATCGTAAAGGTATCCTAATTTCAAAAATATAATTTGACCGCTCAAACTGAACAAGGTAAGACAGAAACATTGCTGGCAGTAAGAATAGAATTTTTTTTTTTTTATCATCTTCATATTAAGTAGTTAAGTATCATCCAAAAAAATATTAAAACTAAATCCATTATTCTTTTAATAATTTTTAAATTAATTCTATGTTGATTGACCAGTAACCTAACAATATCCTAATACTTACAAGACGCATATTGTGGGAATTTTTGCAATTTAAGAGAAAGAATTTTGTTTAATACTTCCAATCCAAATTATAAATCTTGTAAATTTACTATTCTTATTCGGTTGGTTGAGCAATCAAATTTCAATATTTAATAACTTATACTTTTTTGGAAAGAAGGGGGGGGGGGAGTAATATACACGTAACATTAACTATTAAAATAAAAAGAACATTTTTGATAAAACGTGGTCAGCAATAGGTAGCTTCTATCTACTCCAGAAGTGAGTCAAAGTATAATTTGGCAAACCATTTATTTATAGTATTTGTTTTTCAAAATGACATGTGATCAAATGTGGTGGTGTAAGTTTAAGGTTCTTGTTTCAGTTATGGGTCCGTGAGAAGTTAAAATATTGTTTCAGACTCTTGGCATTAATTATTCGAATATTTAAAAATAAAAAGTAATTTATAATGAAAGGGATATCTGGGTTTCATAGCGGTCGTAATTCAGTGTTTTAAGTGACAGCGGGGATAAATTTCAATATATATATAATTTTTATTAAATACGTATATAGACCCCAATATCTTAAAAGGCACTTAATCTCATTCACTATTTTTTCATATCAATGCTGGCATTCATCATAATATTTGAAACGAAATTTTAAAAAATGTTATTTATTGTCCAGTATGATAGATATTAAATTATGTAATGGGACCTTTTTCAAAGTTGGATATAAAGAACTAGTATTATTGATAAGTGATTGTAATGTATTTGTACTGGTATTTTTATTTTATTTAATCATATGTCTATTTCTAGGTTCGCACAATGCTAATATAAAAAAAATAGGTTTTCTAAATATTAGATCCTTGATTTTTACTAGTGTCGTTATATAATCAAGTTCCTACCACTCTTAGCAAAGGAACCATCAAGCTATCCTTTTTCTTTTCTTATTATTTTGTTTCTTTTTCTTCTTCTTTTAACACTTGCAACCTTTTTTCTCCTCTCAATTGCCTTTTAAAAAAATCAAGGATTTATTATTTTATACCTTAGTCAATTGACATTATTAATAATAATATAATATATTTATAAGATCTCATGATATTTAAATTTGTAAAAAAAATGAAAATTTATAAATGAGAAAAGTAGCTTTAAAAATAACCCGGATTTAATTTCATTTAATCTAAATATTATTTACAGGATTAATAATTTCAATTTATAAATATTTTTGTTTATTTAACTATCATTTTAGGCAAAAAGTTGCAGAATATATCAAATTTTAATTAAAAAATTTTTTTTTTAAATTAACGATTCGCTATCTATATTTATTCTATAAAAATGGTTAAGAATTTTCATAAATGAAAGGGAGACGAATTCCTAAACCATTTTTATAACAAGGAGTTATATATGATATTTATATCAATGACCTTAATACTTATTTAATTTATTTTTATTTACATAATAAAGAGACAGAGCAGACTAGATGTTGTTAAGCTAACCCGAAACTAAAAATATTACACAGGAGATTGTGCGTAGGATAGCATAATGTCTTAATCATCTATTAACAAAATCACGATACTTGCCTGATTTCTTTTGGTTTAGATATTAGATTGGTCGTTTAAATCGAACCATTTAATAACACTAGAGCAGATTTTATAAATTGGAGAGAAATTCTCTTTTTTTTAATGGTTCATAATTTAAAATGTTAATTATGAATTTGCAAAGAATAAGGTTCTAACGTTATTGCGCGAAGTGCGAGTCGGTAAAAATATATTTTATTAACTAACTTTTTCATTTCACACTTCGTTTATATACATTTTTTATAAGTCCAAATTAGAATACAAACGAAATACAAAAAAGTAAAATAATATAAAAAGTAAGGTTACGCCGTTTATAAAATAAAATTAGATTATAACAAATAATAAAAATTAGATTATAGTAAATAATAAAAATTAGTTCAAAAAACAAAAAGTATATTCAAAAAGTATATTCAAAAAGTACACAACACAACATTCTCCCTCTTCTTATAATTTCATCGGAGAAGTCATAGAGAGTTTGTTGTCCAAGTGGTTTATCATTTTGGTAATCAAGTTGTATCACGAATCATAGTAACGTTGGCTTGTCCCAATCGTTGGTTTGATTAATTCGATTTTGCACGTTGGTTCGTTTAAATCGCAATTTTTAAAAATCGTTATTATCCGCGAATAATAAGAATTAATAGTTCATCAAAATATGAAAATAAGTGAAGAATGATAAATCAATAAGATTGTTATATTTTTAGCGTTTTAATTTTTCGCGTTTTAATAACTTTTATTTTTTCGCGTTTTAGTGTTTAATTAATTTTTGCGTTTTAATATTTAATTTATTTTTATTTATTTTCAATCTCCGAGGTTAAAATATGCAAATAAAATATTATTCACATTTCCCTCTCTTTAAATAAAAAATTTAAATTTCACACCCTAGTTTAAATTCAAAAAGTGTTATTTTTTCATAAGATAATTTTTAGAAAATGATCTCTTTCAAAAACTTTTTATCATATTAAGTATTACTTATAAGGGTTATTTAAATCAATCATGTGATCTAAACCTTTTAATTCATGTTTTAATTACATTTTAACATATTTAAAAATAAGTTTTATCTTCTTGTTTAGGATTTTTAATGGTTTATTTTTAATTATATCTAAGAATTCATCTTTAGGTTTAGTTAATTTACAACAATTGGTCATCATTCAAGAAATCAATAAATATCAATATTTCATTAAGAATTTAAGTAAATAATTTTTTAAAGGCTTTTTGTGTGTTCAAATATATCCATTATGATTTTACATTTTAGTAATTTTAAAAATTTATAACATGCCTTTATCCTGGCATAAAATCTTAATATATAATAACTTTTCTTCTTACGTGGATTAGAATAATAAGTAATAATCATTGATCTCACAAAATAGAATTCATAACCTAACGTCCAACTTTCATATTGGTTCTTTCTAGGTTGCCACCTTAGGTTAGGTGCTGGCTATCATATTCCAGTCCAACATCCAGAGCCGGGACACCATGAAGAAAGAAGCTTTTTGCATGAAAGAACGTCTAAGGTATAATTCTTGGTCATATCAATAGATAAGGTATTCATCTCAATAGGTAGTCATCTCAATAGATTAGGTAGTCGTCACAATAGGTAGTCATATCAATAGATAAGGTAGTCATTTCAATAGGTAAAGCAGTCTCTATAGGTTAGATAGTCGTCACAATAGGTAGTCATCTCAATAGATTAGGTAGTCGTCACAATAGGTAGTCATACCAATAAATAAGGTAGTTGACGAGGAACAGTATCGAGGAACATTATGAAAGGAATAACGAGGAACATTATCGAGGAACATTATGAAAGTTTTATTATTAGTATTATTATTATTGTTTTTTTTATCGAAAAGGAAAAAGTTATTATTATTATTGTTTTTTTATTGAAAAGGAAAAAAATTATTTATTATTATTATTATTATTATTATTATTATTATTATTATTATTATTATTATTATTATTATCTTTGTTTTGTGATGAATAACGATGATGGGGTAGAAAGTGAATATATATAATGGAAGCAAAAGAAAAAAAGATATATTATATGTTTTATTTTGTAATTTTTAATTGATGTATGTTTAGTGAAGAAAAAAATAAAAGGAAATAAAAACCTACTGCAAGTAAAAAATAGAAAAAAACAAAATATAGATATATATATATATACTGCAAAAAAAAGGATAATAGTAAAAACCATTTCAATATAGGAGAATTAAGACGATTTAAATAGTAGTCATTTCAATAGGTAAAGCAGTCTCTATAGGTTAGATAGTCGTCACAATAGGTAGTCATATTAATAAATAAGGTAGTCATTTCAATAGGTAAAGCAGTCTCTATAGGTTAGATAGTCATCTCAGAAGATTAGGTAGTCATCTTTTTCTAGTCCACCACCCAGAGCCGGGGCACCATGCAAATAATAAGGTTCTAACGTTATTGCGCGAGGTGCGAGTCAGTAAAAATATATTTTATTAACTAACTTTTTCATTTCACACTTCGTTTATATACATTTTTTATAAGTCCAGATTAGAATACAAACGAAATACAAAAAAGTAAAATAATATAAAAAGTAAGGTTACGCCGTTTATAAAATAAAATTAGATTATAAAAAATAATAAAAATTAGATTATAGTAAATAATAAAAATTAGTTCAAAAAACAAAAAGTATATTCAAAAAGTACACAACACAACAGAATTTCTTATATTTAAATTTTAATAATACACTAGTTTTGTTTTATTTGCTTAATGTATTACTATTTTTTAAAAAACCTTTGCAGGATTGTTCTTTTTTTTATATATTATCCATTACTTTAATTATATTTAATATAAAATTCCCTTTTTTCTACAGGATACACATAACATCTTTTATCTTTCAATTAATTTCGTCAAAATGCCCAATATAAAGCTGCAATCTTCTGATGGTGAAATATTTGAAATGGATGTTGAAATTGCAAAGGTTTCGGGAACAATTAAAACTATGCTAGAAGACCTAGGTATGGAGGATGAAGAGGAAGAAGTTGTCCCTCTTCCAAATGTCAATGCTGCTATATTAAAAAAAGTTATTCAATGGGCTACACATCATAAAGACGATCCAACCCCGCCAGATGACGAGGAAAGAGAAAAGCGTACAGACGATATTAGTAGCTGGGATGCTGATTTTTTGAAAGTTGATCAAGGAACACTTTTTGAATTAATATTAGCTGCTAACTATTTGGACATTAAAGGCCTATTAGATGTTACCTGTAAAACAGTAGCAAATATGATAAAAGGTAAAACACCGGAAGAAATAAGAAAAACATTCAATATTAAAAATGATTTTACACCCAGTGAAGAAGAACAGGTTCGTAAAGAAAATGAATGGTGCGAAGAAAAGTGATGCTAATATAGATAATGAATTGTAAGAAGAAAAGTAATAGTAAAATATAATAATTTGAATCTAACTTGTATTTTTATTTATCTAAATAAATGTATATATGCTATTTTAGAAAAGATTTTGTAATATTCTAAATGATTATAAAATATTATCTTATAAATAATTTGGATTATATACATATTTATTATTAATGTATCAAATGATTTAATAAAATATTATTAAAAATTGCTCTTAGAATTTTATTTATTTACTAAATAATTTAATTGTTAAAGGGGTTTGATTTATTTTAGAAAAAAATTTAAATATTTTTTTCTTTGACTAAATATAGCTAAATAACATGATCATATTTTATAATATACTTTTAAAAAACTTATTACATAAAAATATTTATGTCCATAATACATTAATAATTTAAAAATATTTTTATTCTAATTTTTTTTTAGCTAGAAAAATTAATCTTTTGATTAATATTTGTATAAAATAATTTAAATATTTATCTTATATTATATAATGTTTAAGAATATAGTGTTAGTCATTTGAATAATTATTTAACATAATTTTCAAAAATGATAAATTATGCTTATGCCATAACAGTTTTTTTACCCCGAGTGACTTGTTCGATACTATAGTTTATACTTTGTTAATTAATATATTTTTGACACCATGATTGGGTTATGAAAAGGATTTAATTTGCTAGGAACCTATAATTTAAAAGTTTGACAGTGTGGGGGTCATTCCTATATAGTCACTTGAGTAGTATGAATAATCTGCTATTTAACTTTCTTTTAAAATCATTATATACTATTATCACTTCATTGGTCAACAAAATCAATTCTGAACACTTAAAAGAGGCTCCTGAGGGCAAATTAGTTTTCAAGGAATCTGGACATCAAGGCTGGAATCTTTCAATACTCTGTAACTTCCATCAAAAAGCCACAACCATCATACTTTAACGATTTTAGAGTAATCACACTAATGTCAGTTGTGTCTTAAGTTTTCATGAGTATAGCGGTGACAAACTATAAAAATCTGATTTTACCGGTAATGTATGCCGCCATGTTTGGAATACCTAACCCTTAGAATTTCAGACAATTTTTCCACGAACTTTCAAACTCAATATAATTTATACTTAATTTTTTTTTATATAAATTATAAATGTCTCAAAAGTTATCAGTAGTAAAATTATCTAAAATTCGTAAGATAGTAGGTATTCTAAACATGCTGAAAATGCATTTCCGGTCAGATCAAAATTTTAAATTTTTAAAATCGCGTCAATCGAAAAAATAACAGATTGGCGGAAAAAAACACATTGGTCAAATTATTAAGGAGAAGGTAGAAATTTTATAAACTTAGAACGCTTCCTAAAAGCGCTAGCTTAGGTATATCGGGCACCGTCATAATAGCGATGCAAAAAAAATTTCAAGATGGTTTACTCGAAATTTGATATTTATGAATCTTACAAAACACTGGGCCTATGGGAAAATCCCTTCGGATCCTTCCCCACTAATATTGATAGCAACCTGCTTACTCAAGCAGAGAATTGAAAAAAAAATGAACAAATATACAAAAGCCTTATCAATTTTATATTCTCTAACAAACGCTACGTCTACCAACGGACAGTTCGCTACTTCAACTTTTAGCGTTTTTTTAAAAAATAATTTAGCTCACAAAATCAAATCGCGAACATCTTTAAACCAAGGGAATTCTTATATCCTCAGACAGAACATCATACAAATCAATATTTTTTTTTAAATTTAACTATTGTTCCCTTTTAGGAACTCAATTATGTTAATAAATGATTTTACTTGTATTAAACAAGTTACGATATCAAAAAAGTTTCAAACTGTTAACTTTTTTTTTAAAAAAAGTTTGGCTGCTCGATTCAGATGAAATAAAATTTTGCCGCACCAGGCAAATTTCCTGTAAATAATACTAGTTTAACGAATCGGTTTAAGTTTTACACTCTATTAGGAATCACAATTTGAATAATATTCGGGTTCGGTTTGGGCTAAAAAATAGTGCTCAGGTCGGGCTCGGGTTGCGAAAAATTTGCTTTGCAAATCTCTAATATATGCTATATAAATTTTTTTTGCAGATCTGTTACAATCAATTTCGGGTCGGTTTTGCTGCCGGATATTTATCCCGGTTCCAAGTTTTCTCTGACTAATTTATGAGGTTTCTCCAAATTATATTTTAAATTTTTCGATTTATTTATCTATAAAATACAAAAGCAAATATTTTATATGTTTATAAAATAATAAAATTATTAATAAATTGTATCTATTATAAATAAATTTTATATTTGTTATATTTTTATAACTAAACTAACATAATAACTATCATAAATATATTTAGAATTTTTTTTTATAAATATAAAAGTTAATTTCTTTTTGGGAAAGCTTTCATTAATTCCGACGATCCAATGCTTTATTCATAAATTTTTTAAAAAATAATATTTTTAATATATTTTTATTATTATAAAATTAAATAAATTATGAAAAATTTATAGTTTTAAATAATTAAAAAAAAAAATTAATTTTTTTTTTCTAAACTATTTTTTCAAATATTTAATCTATATAAATCTACTTAAAAAACCTATTTAAATTATACCATTAATACTAATATATTTATATCCATATAAACCCATCATAGATGACTTTTAAATTCTTGAGCCAAATTATTCTAGTACATGGTATAAATTACAAAAAAATAAAATATTATTGGAAAAAAATTAGTAATTTCTTATTAATATCAGAGATCCTGCAGGCCTAGCCTTAGAACCCTGCCTGGCCCGTAATTCAGACCTCCAAAATAGTATAATCTAAAAAAAGCAGCTGATTTAAGGACAAATAAAATGAAATAATATCAATTTAATAAAGTCGAAAAATATTGGGATTTTTATTTTTTAAAAAATAAATCATTTTTTCCGACATTTTTACGCAAAAATCGAGCTTCCCAAATACGATCTCGAATAACTTCCGGTCATAATAAATGGCAAATGGCTCCGATTTAACTTTCAAAATGTCGCCTTAGAACCCTATCATCTGTTCCAATTTTTAAAAAGTACTTTGCCATCTTGTTTTTGTTTTGAGTAAAATTTTATACGAGATGTAATAATACCGCTTTGTTTATCGCCATTTTATAGTTGGGCGGAGGAGTGTAAATTTAAAATATTCAATTCGATCAGAAGTATCCTCCAGGGATATTTTGGCGGGAAATCTGTCGAACATTGATTAATTTAGATTGATTTTTTTTTTCTATAAATTTTGAAAAAAAAATGACACAAAGGGTTCTTGGTAAAATAAAAATAATATCCTTATTCACAGAATGGGGTCCGTCACTCTTCATATGCCGGAATAAAATAAGATTTTTAAAATTCATCAATTCCACATGCCTATAATATAATTGTTAATCTTTATAAATATCCTATTCTTTTAGAAAATACTCCAAAAAATAATATTATCATTTACAATTTGTGCTTTTGTTGGTGTTAATATCTAGAGTGTTCTAATTCAATCAACACTGATAATAATGCCCAGAGATCTTGCAGACCGGCATCAAAGCTTGGCCTCCGCCCGATTAATATTCTAGCCATAATACCAATCATGTAAGTCTGGAGATTTTTGCTCAGAGATTGGCAGAAAGGGAACCTCTAATTTGCTAAATCTAGAAGGCTTACATATTAGTATTCCGGCTAAACGACTCAAATATGAACCGTTTAACAACACTACTGGCCTGTTATTAATGCGATTTCAAAAATTTGCCGGGTCCTTAGGGGGTGACCTTTTTATTCCCAAATCATACTGATTGAGAACAAAAAAATATCATAATCATTCGCTTCCTAATTGCCAGAAAAGAATTTCTAATGAGCTTAATGTTAAAATCAATCCCTTAGTCAAGATCAAATATAATTTAAATTCCAACTGGTGTCAAGGAATAGGGAATTCAAAGGAAAAAAAAATCCGTACAGTGGTCCAAAAATTTTTTTATATACATATATAAATATATATATAATGAAATTACTCTTCTTAAACTTTTTACGTATTAAATTTATTTTTATTGCTATCTTTTCATATATTTATATTCCTTAGGGGGGGGGGGGAATTTATAAACTTTTTAAAATTAATTAAAATCCTTTGAATTTTTAGATTTTATCTATAAGAATTTCGAAAATAAATGCTTATGAGGTTGTTTTCAACAAATCTTATTATAATATAAGTTCATTAAAAAAAAAATTGAGATTTAAACAGTAAACCATTATTATTATATTTTTCCCTTTAATCAAGAAGAAAAACTTAAGAATATTTTTTCATGAATTATTATTCTTATTCGACAAAAATGTTTAATATAAACTTAATATAAGTTTAAATTTTAAAGTTTAAAGGAAGATTTTCTTATAAATATTAATAATTATGCTAAGTCAATATTTGACTGATCCACTTGTTACAATTACAACATACTTTCCTTTTCTTTTAAAACAAAATATGTAATTTCTATCAAAAAAATTAATTTTTTTTTAACAAATTTGTGTTACAAAATGAAAACCCATTACAAGCTTTAAAAAAAATCCCAAATATTCTATAATAATAATAAAAATAATATTGTTTTTTTTTTAAGTTTTAAATTTTTTTGTAACCTATATTTTCTGTTTATTATCTCCTACTCTCCTAGTCTAATTTGGTATAGGAGAAAAACTAGATAACGTGAATATTAGTGACACTTCCTTTATAATTTTTCAAACTATAAAAAAAATAAGATTTATAAATGGATCATTGGCTACGAATAGGAATGGGGGTGGTAAATCGGGGGTTCAATTACGCGTCTAAATTTTTTTTTATAATGGCAAAATATACGATTTATTAAGATATCGCGAATATCGTCGCGACGCGCAAAAATGTTTTAACACAAAGTTAAATGTTAGCCTTTTATACGAATTAAACTATTGCAGCCATTGATTTATTTAAGAAATTTTTATGATGTTTCTTCCATTTCGTTCCTTAACTTAGTTAAGTAATATAAACCATAGGAACAGAACTAGTGTTGGCAACTCAATATTCTAACCAGAGAAATATTGTCTAAGTCCTTAAGATTTAGAAAATATATGTCTAGACCTTTGTTTCCTTCTATGATCTAAATCTTCAGGCTTAGATAATATTTTTCCCGGGGTAAGTATTGAGCCAACCGTTTTTAAAAAATCGGCTCAAAACGAGCCGTTTAACAACACCACGCTCAACGTAATCAAAGACCTGCGGGCCCGGACCTAAGCCCGGATTGGCCCGCGTAAATATAACCGGTCCGGACCGAGCCATGCAAATGGTATACCTCTGTAGATTTCTGATAACAATTAATGGTATTAATAATTTTAAAATAAATAACTTATTTTGAATATAACATTAATTTAATTAAGGCGATACATAAAATATCTATAAATGTAACTTTAAAGACATAATCTGCTCTGCTCGCTTTGTAAAATAAAATATAAAATAAAAGATGGAGGAGGGACGATAAATTAATCATAATTAGACACGATTTTTGAAAACACGTGATAGATATAATTATTTTGCCAGTTATAATATTAATATTATTTTTTGTCGTGATAATTATAATTAGCTATATATATATATATATATTATGTAAAAAATTACTATTAAAGGAAAAAATATGTTAATTAAACTGGCATTTTCTTTCAACCCCCCAAAAAATGTCGAACAATTGATTTTTTACCTATTCAATTAATGCTAACTTTCTTTAATCTTTTTTAGTGCATGCGGTAGTATAGTGTTGTTAAACGGCTTATTTTGAGCCGATCTTTAAGAACGGCTAACTCAATATTAGCCCGAAAAATATGGCCTGAGTCTTGAGATTTCGCGAATAGATGTCCTTGCTTAGGTTCCTTCTACAAGCAAAATCGTAGTCTTGAGTTATATTATTCTGGATGAAATAGTGAGTTAGCCGTTTAACAACTTAGTACAATTTATTGCACTATAGAAGGCTGACGGTGGGATTTTGTGCCGATCGGAATGAGTTCCTAACAGATAAGAAAAATCTTGAGCGCGTCCTAATCTCTGAGCACACTTCAATTCGATTTAGAAATTTGGAATTTAAAGTGAAAGGTGCAATGTCTGTCCCCCCTTTTAAAAAATGTTATTATAGCATATTCAAAATCTACCATCAGATGTCACGTGTGGGAATGGGAAAATTTAGGTACAAGTACAAGAATTGTATTTAATTCACTTTAAAAAAATAATTCAATTTAGTGAATTCTTGAAACTTTCTTTTTAATTTTGGGGAAATTATATTGATTAAAATATTTGAATCATGGTTCCATCTGCGGGTTTACCTAAAAATATTTGAGCTTAGAGTATATATCGAAAAATATGAGCTTTTTTAAAGAAAGAAAGAAAGAAAGAAAGAAAGAAAGAAAGAAAGAAAGAAAGAAAGAAAGAAAGAAAGAATGGCGTTATAAAATAATGAAATAAATTGTCTCGGTTAGCCCTTGTTCATTTTCTCTCTCCGTTTATAGGAGGGGGGGGGGTGGAAATGTGTTGTAAAAGCTTTGATGGATTGAAAGATATTAAATGGAGCGCATCTGAACTAAACGGAGACCGACAGCCCCGGCCCTGCCGTAATTTGATAAACCCGGGCCGGGGTTAAAAAAATACCTGGGTCGGGCCGGGCCTAAAAAATTTTTTTTAAAAAAATACCCGGGCATGACCATGCGAGTTTAATTTTAACTGGGTTTCAGGATCGGTGCTTGTGCCAATGGTGACACGTTTCCTAGATGGAATATTAATGGAAAAACGGCAAAAATTTAAAAGTTATCAATCAAAACAAAGCAGAATCAATTAATTTATCAGGAAGGGTGGAAGGGAGAGTGGTGGGAATGTTTTCCAAAATACGTGATTCAAGAAAAAAACGTTATTTCTTATAAAATTGTACTCTAATATCTAAGGGTGGGAAGTGAAGTGCCAATTTCAGCGCTAAATTTTGTAGTAGCCAACAATAACCAAAAAAATATAAATCAAATACACCAAATATAACAACATATTTTTTGACAAAATTATTTATTATTATTTAAAAAATAAGGTAAACCCTAATAAAATTCATGCATGCCATATAAATTTAACAAATTATAAAATTAAAGGTTATTTATTTAGTATCAATTACTAATTTTCTAAATAATCTGTCATTTCGACTCTGACTATTAGGTTATAATCATAATCGGTAAAACTAGAACTGTATAACAAAAAGTGGACAAGATTGTAAAAATGGTATTTAATTTTTTTAAAAAAATATCTTTTTTATATTTTTATAATTATTAAGCACACATTGCTATTACATCTTACATCTGTAGACTTTATAATTGTGTGGTGTAATTTAAAACGAACATCATCTTCTTCGATAGGGACATTCATACTTAACATGTTTTAGCACCTATCCTATACCAATAAATAGAAGGTTATTATATAATGTAATGTCATAGACGTTACCAATGGTAGAGGTGCGGTCTCTTGCATGGTAAATTTGCAGGATTCTGCTAAATCAATGATTAAAAGAAAAGAAAAGAAAAGAAAAGAAAAGAAAAGAAAAGAAAAGAAAAGAAAAGAAAAGAAAAGAAAAGAAAAAGAAAAGAAAAGAAAAGAAAAGAAAAGAAAAGAGCCGTCACTCGATAAAATTTACGGGGCAAATAAGCTCTCATAAAGCTTTCCTTTCCCAGAAAATAATGGCTACATGTCTATTATATATGTTTCGTAAATATGTAGTGGCGCTCAAAGTTTTTGATAATATTCTTCATCGTGTTCAGTTAGGGTTATGGGTTAATATACTTAGATAATTTTCTATTAGATGCTTTCACAAGATTTGAGAAAGAATGATTAGGGTCTATTTATTATATTTGTTTATCATGACTTATCAATTACTATTATTATATGTGTGTGTATGATTATGAGGTTATTTCTTTTATATATCTTGTTCTACACTTCTACTACATTTATCATCCATAGTTTGTTGCCTTTGAATGCCAACAATCCCAATCATCGATCTTTCTAGAATAGCTCTTAATTTTCCATTTTTTTTAAAAAAAAATATCATGTAAGTTAGTTATTTTGCTGGACATTTCCAGGATTTAACAAAATATAAACCGGGTTTTATATATTTGTTTTTAGCTAGAAAATGAATCCTGCCAGGGAATGCAGATCTCTGAACATCTTTTCGTAGTAGACCTAATAAAAAAAATCATCTATTAAGCTTTGCTAGAACAATAAACTCTGAAGAATTCCAAAGAATACGCTAATTTTATTTCTTGGAAGGAGTAAATATTTCTGAAATCTGACACAACCCAACATTAAGAAATTAAGGATTTTCATTATTTATCTTCTATTATACTTTCTTTTCTTTTCTTTTCAAACTAACACGTTGTATATACGATTATGAAGTGAATATGAATATGAATATTTACTAAAAAGAGTACTATTTTATATTAATATTATTTGTAAAAAAATTTTTATTATTGTCAAATTATATAAATTTCCATATTTCATATTTTTATTTTCTTTGTTCAAAAATATGCTTTTTGGAAATATTTTTTTTTTATTATTGATAGAGAGGGGGGGGGGAAGAACTGATCAAAAATTCTAAAAACTTTTTTATTTTTCATCCCAAGTGAATAATAAAATTCTTATAAATTGTGTATATATTGTTTTAAATATTTTTACATAATTTTATGCCAAAGGGAAAAGATTTTAATAATTTTTATTTAGAAGTGTATGGAAAAAAAAGTACAGAGATTTATTGAATATATTTATTTTCTATCTGTTATTTAACATAACTTTTTACTAGTCAGGTATCATTGGGAAAACTTATATGATACTTATTATTCTTAAAACTAAAATTGGAATAACTTTATCGTGTCAGTTCACCCAAGGTTGCCGCTGGCCTTTTATACAGCAGGGTTATTTATTGTTTTTAAGTATAGATATTCATCGATGAACATATGTTCCTCTATTTCAAAAAATTAGTTCAGTATTACAATCCTATTTTAATAATAATATTCAACTATTTCAAAAAAAAACATATGTATATGCGAAGTCTTATATGGATATAACGGGGTTATCGGACAAGGTTACACTAACAATAACAACCAAAATGTCGGAAATATATTAGCCAGTGCCATGGCATTTTGTCAAGCGAACGTTAACTGTTTGGCTCCCAGGAAATGCGTTTCGATCAACAACAATCCCTCTCTCTGCCAATGCCCGTCCCCTTATATATTAGATCCAACTACGAATTCATGCGGATGTAATTATTTAGCATATGATTAACGTTTCCCCCCTGTCATTTATTTTTACAAAGCTTCAATCAAAAAAGGGCAGAAAATTATTTATAAAAAATATAAAACTTATACAATTTATAAAAAAATAATAATTTTTAGTGCCCTCTACCGCTATCCGAGTCGTGGTTCACATGACCAGGATACGGTTTAAGCATGATTACTTAAATGCCGATTCCCGGAAATACAAAGAGCTGCAGGGTAAATTTCTGTCGACCATATGGCTCATAATACTCGCCAATTCGGATGCCGCTGGTTTCATTTTAAATGTATACGTGGTACATTTTCTACCCGGGTCTGTCATTGTTCACGCGGATATAGTATTAAAGCAAGGGGCCAACAGGACCGCCGATGATATAAGAAGGATCTTTGCCGAGGGGCTCAAGAGACCTCCCCTGTACGCGCCCCTTAATCTAACGAACTCTAGGATAAAGGCCGCTTATGAGAAGGATCCTTGCGTTTCGGGTGGCGTCAATTTGTGTCCCGAACCTGATACTGTATGCGTTTCAAGTCACATGATATTCAAGGAGTGTCGTTGCAAGGAAGGATACCAAGAAATGGTTGAAAAAGAAACCGGGTTCATAAAATGTTCAAGTAAATTACCTATAATTATAAATTGCAAAGTATAATCTTAAAACGAGGCCCTACGAAAATTCGAGTAAAAATCAAATATCCGTATTTCGCAAAATATTTAACCGAATAATCGAGTATTCGGTTTAATTCGAATAGAATCAAATATCCGTATTTCGTAAAAATATCTAACCGAATAATTTTGTATTTTACGGATAATCGAATAACGAATAATTCGATTTCTTTTCGAATATTAAAATAAATTATTTTAAAAAATAAAATCCATTGGGCATAAGATTTTTTTCTATTTGCCTCTATCCAAATTTTCGAATCGAATAATTCGGTATTCGTAAATTTTGAATCGAATAACAAATATCAAATAACTATCCTTAATAGGCCCGCAACGATACCTTACAAGTTTGAGATTATACTTTATGATATAAAAATATGTTGAACAAAATTTTTGGATAGTTTGAAATATTTTTTATGAGGTTAATGTTCAAAATGATGATCGTTTTTTTTTGAAAAGTTTCAAAACTTTCAGAAATTTTCAAATTTTAAGATTTTTTAAAACTTTTTAACAATTTATAAGAGTTATTATATGTGGGTGTTTCGCACAAGGGTTCGAGCCCTTAAAAAATTTGTAGTGTCCCCTGAAAATTTTGCAATGTGGTCATTTTGAAATTATAAGCTAAAAAAGAGAAGGTTATTTCGAAATTATTTTAAATAAAGAAATCCTGGAAATTAAAATAAAATAATTTTTGAACCCCCCCCCCCTCAAGTTGAAAAGGATAGTGACGCCATTTTTGCTAAAATACTCAAAACCACTGATTCAGAGTGAACAGGGGTTGGAGAAATTAGGCAAACCTCTTGAGCATGAGTCTCAGAAATCGTTCTAATCAGACCTGACGAGAAAAAAAACCTAATGAGTTAAATGTAATGAATAGACCCAGAATTATAGGGGGGGGGGGGGCGGGTTTAATAGAATAAAAAATTGTTATAATCAGGAGGAAGTTAAGCATGCTGATTATTAAATCTATATCCGTTTCTACTTAGAAATTATTATTTCATAAGAAACCCGACCACTATGTTAGGGCTAGGTACTGATTCGAATTGAACCGGGTTGAGTGAGTTCGAGTAGGGTCAAACCGAATACTGAGTAACTTATCGAATAAATTAATTTAATTAAATATTGTATATAAAACTTTTTTTTTAACTAATATGGGCAAACAAATAAGCTAAAAAACTAAGGAGCCGATTAATGATTTGACACTGACAAATATTTTTTAATATTAGTGAATTGCCCTAGAGACTATTGTTCCAACAACGGGATCTGTGAAATCAAATCGAATAAAAAATATTGCAAATGTCCGGATTGGTATTTAGGTGACAGATGTCAGCACAATGGGTTCGACATTATCGTGTCATTGATGACAGCTACGATCATATTCATAATTGCCGGAATTTCGGTTTTCGCTTATTATGCCAAAAAGAAGTATATATATATATATGTATATCATTATAATTTATACTATATGCTGATATGCCTTATAATTTCTCATAATGTTTCCACATTCTCTAATTAAATAGAGAGATCTGCTAAACATGATGGGTTATACAGATTATTTAAAAAGTAACTGTAATATAATCAGCTACTTCTTAAATTAACAGTTACACTTCAAAGATAACTCTTGGAAAATACTAGAAGAAAAATAAAGAGTATTGCAGAATAAATTCATAGTAAAAATAATACATTTATTTTTTACAATGTTTTCTTAACCTATAATTTGAAATTTTTATTGTTTCATATATCTTCAGTATGAATACCATTTATAAATAAATAATTATTTCGGGGGTGAGAAGTGATTGAGCGCCCCTCTCCCCACCCACTCTAAGCATGCCATCTGATATTATAATACTATGTAATGTACTATAATATACATAAACTTTATTTATCCTACTTATAGGGAATTTTTCAATGAAAGTTCTGACGATCAAGCTAGTTTCAAAAGTAGCTCAATTGATCATAATCACGAGAATAAATATTCTGATCTCAAATTCAAATATTGAATCTATACGAACTTATAATATTTAAAAAAAAATATATATATATATTTTGCATTATTTTATTACTATATCTACGTTCGATGGAACTATATAATACTCGTTTTTGTTTTAACGCATTTAAAGAAAAAAATTTTAAATTCAAATAATACACGGCTTAAATTAACGAAATTATCGAGAAATCAAATTAATCGTTTAAAATAGCGGTGTTAATATTGAATTTTTGTAAACCCAAATTCTATAATTAGGTTATGTATCCCGATACTCATTTGATATACTTATCTAAGAACGATATTATTTCTATTTTATCCCAGCCAACAGGAAGGTAACAATAATATAGGATTTTTTCTATGGTTTGATATATCTTAAGATGCGATTATAAAATAAATTTAAAATACTATATAAATTTTACCCAACCATTTCTAATAATACTTATTTATTCTTGAAAATAAAATATGATTTGTTACAAAACACGTGACCCCTGGAAAATTTAATGAGCATTCTGCTGAAAATTTTTAAACTATTTTTTAGCTATTACAAAGGGCCATTAAATTTTTTTTGGGCCCTCTGAAATTGTAGGCTAGTGATGTCCCTGGAAAGATGAAAGTTGTTTGTAAGCTAAAATATTTTTTATAAGTTGATTCGCAATAGGGAGGATATTACCAAGAAACTTAAGATGAAGGAATTGGAAACACGGAAGAGGGAAGAGAAGTGCGAAGAATGGAAGATCAATGAAAGATAGAATTGATAATGGCGTAATAAGATGATAACTAGATATATTTAAAAATGCGTTGAATTTGATTTTGGAGAGTTATTGAATGAGTTTGAAAAATAAATATTAAAAAAATGCCACGATTTTATAGCAAGATAAATAAAAATTTAATAATTAAGGTCTGGTTCTTAGTTCTTCTAAGAGAAGAGATAACTGTTCCTAGTAACTATTGATGTTACCCCATCTCAGGTCTAAGAGTAATATCGCGGATATTTGTATTTTTAAATTTTTCTAAAAGATCTTGTATCTTTGATTCAATATATTCAAGATACAAATTATTTTAAAAAAAAACAAACTTTATCTTAATGAACTTTGCCATTCAAAAATAAAATACAATAACATTAATAAAAATTATATTAGTTAACCTTAATTATCATATTTTATTAAAATCGCCATATGATGGAACCGAGTTATCTAATATTTAATTATAAGAATCGGGAATTGAAATCAATGATGCTATACAATTTAAAAAACAAATGTAAATTAAGCATATTTAAATGGAAAATTATTTAAAGTCACTCAACTTAGACATACCAATAATAAAATTATCGCAGAGTGTATAGAAATGCCACAAATTCATAAGTGGGCCTGCGCAGAATGACATATAATAATACCTTGAATGATGATGCATTAATTATAAATGTACATCAATGAAAAACAGCTGGGGACGCCATTTTGGTTATACCCATATCATTATTATCGTAATTATCGCAATTTATAATTATCGTAATATATTTTTATCGTAATTATCGCAATTTATAATTATCGTAATATATTTTCAAAATAATCGATATTTTTTTTAATGTTATTTTTTTTTGTTGATTAAAAAAAATATAATATTGTTTTATTATTATTATTTTTTTTAAAAAAGTTGTTGAAAAAAGAAAAATATATCTTTTCATTCATTATATTTTTTTTGAATAATTTTTTTTTTCGAATTAAAAAATAAAAAGAAATAAAAAGTAAAAAAAAAAATATAGTCATCAAGAATTATTTTACTAAAAATACAAAGTGTATTAAAGAAAAAGTAAGATTTTTTTTTTGGTTGAATAAGAAATACTACATTGGAATCTATTTAAAGTGTTGATCGTTAATAAAAGTGAGAAATATAAAGTGTTGATTTTTTTTTAAAGTTGAGAAATATTACAATTATTAATGGAAGCAAGTTATGAATTAAGTAGTTAGTTATTAACATGATACTATATTATGAGTTACTAAAATGGCGAGTCCAGCTGATTTGCACTCCGCTTTCAAATGCATTATTATGAACGCATCTTCAGTCTAGGTATTATTATATGTCATTGCTCTAATTTCGTCAGGCATCTGTATTATATCATTTTATTGAAAATAACATTTATATTATAATGATATTCATTTCATTTCATCATTCATATTCAATATCGTAACATTCATTGACTAAATTTAGAACTTTTTAAAAATAAATATTGACAAAATATATTATAAATAAAAGAAAGAATAGTTAAAAATCTATAATCTAAAATATTTTTAATTTTTGGTTTCACTGAATCATCTAGAATTCATATAAAAATTACAAGAATCATCAGAAATTGTTACTCAAATAGATATTGTGAAACGGCAAAATCATTAACTTATTGAAAACCTTAGAATTTCAAATAATTTAGAAAAAATTTAAATTAACTTGTTAAAGGAATGCATTAAACTATTAGTTAACAAAAAAGGATTTGTAAAAAAATAATGGAATGTAAGTTAAAGTTTTATTAGTTTTCTCTTACCCTTATCTTCTATTGGTCAATTTATTACAACTATTATCTTGTAATGGAATTTACAATAGCAATTACAAAATTATATTCTCGAAGATTTTTTATTGAAAGCAATTTAATTTTTCCGTCATATATAAAATGGTTTCTTCTTAAGTTATATGAAATTAAACAGTTATTGGTAGCTCAGGCTATTCTGGACTAGTACAGATGTGCAATACTAAGAACTATCTTGGAATGTCATGAGGTAATAAAAAGATATGCTAATTAATTCATAAATTCAATTAATATTATTAAATAGCTCCAAAAGGGTACTTTACAAAGCAATCTCGGGCCCTTTTGTTAAGTAGATTTTTGGGAGCGACACATATGTAAAAATATTAAAGTTAGTTGATGAAATCTTTCGTGATGTTGGAATTGAGTGAAAAAGTTATTAGCAACTGTGTTCGACAATCAGCGCCATTCCGAGACTTTTATGCTTAATTTGATAAATTTTCACAATGAAACTAAAAATATATATAACATGATTAAATTTTAATCGTTTTCAGGCTCATTCATTAATTTTGGTATATTGGATAAGAATACAAAATGATTTTTAAAGAACTTTAACTGAACCCCCCCCCCCCCCCTCCCACAAGATTTCCTCTTTTGATCTAGTAATACATTGTAAAATTAATCTCATATTTTTTTGAGGATCTCATGTATAGGCTTGTTATCTCCATTGTAAGAAAATTGCTTTTGAACCTTTCCGCCTACGAATAATTGTTATTGAAGGAAAGCAGTGCTCTTCTAAAATCATTTCCATTTCCTGCGCAAGTTTTTTCGTTGAGTCAATGGAATTCTGAAAGCCATTTCCCTAAACAATCTTAGGGTGGAAAATCCTATGAGGTTGGGAAACCAGACAAATACTGCATATAGAAATCCTGAAATCAATGGAGCCATAAGAACAAAATGGTTAGACAAAGGATTTCATATAAATTATCTTCCCAGGAGGAAGAAAAATCTCATTAATAAAATTAAATATAATAATTCTTCCCCTGGTAAAGGGATTGATTGATTTAAATTTTTGAAAGGGGATCACTTTCTTAATTTAAGTTACGAAAATTGTATCAACTGTTAAAAATAAAGATAAGAAAATTAAGTTCCACATAAAAAAACCACTATTTAAAATAAAAATTTGAGTAATATAATTAATATATACCTTGATTGATTTTATATAATTAGGTTAACAATCTTGGCTGAATAAAATTCAAAAACAAATTATGTATTAAATAAAATAAAAATGAAGAAATTTGGTGATTAATCTGAAAATTAACATCTCGGTTTAAAATTATTTATAAAATTTAAAAAATAAAGTCGCCAATGTATAAAATGCGATATTAAAATTATTATAATTTTGAAATTAAAAGGTAATATAATTTCGCCGTATATATTTTTAGGTTTACATATCAAAAGTTATAGAAAAAATAATATAATACATTTTAAAATAATTTAAAATATGTTTAAATGTTTCTTATTAATAAATAATATAAAAAATATACATTATTTATAATAAAATCACGCTGTCAAATTTTTTCATCGGCGACGGCGTTGGCGTGGTATTAAGCGACGGGCACAGGTCTAACTTTATGTAATAAATATTTTTTTATCAAGAATACGAATAACACACATAATAAAGTATCTTTGACATACTTAAAGTAAAAAAGTATCGAATATAGTATCATGTTTACAATCGTTATTTTATTAACCCTAAATTTTTATATAATATTTTTATTACAATAATATTTTAAAAGGAGTTAATACCATTTATCTTATTTACCCACCCACTGAAAGAACAAATATCATCAATTTATTAAATTTATTCACTTAGAAGGCAAATATACCAAAATAATATTTATCCAATAAATCTTATATACTTGGCAGGGTGTAAAAATCAGAGAAATTCTGACTCGAAAAAAATCGCTAAGCTTTTTTCCCCTTAAAAAATTTAGTTTAGTCCTTTTTGAATGGCTCAAAACCTGCTAAGAAATGGGCACACTACTTGCTGCTGGCAAAATTCACTTTATACTTTAAACAAGGCATAAGCGGCTGACTTTTTGCTTTTCTAACTTTTAAATGGCTATAAGAAAGACATGTTTTACTTCATGAAATTCAATTTTTATAATAATAATAAAGGGAAAAGAATTTCAAATTTAACTGAAAAAATAAAAAAAAAATTTTATCGAGGGGGGCGGGGTCAACTCAACTTCTCGAAATTTAGAAGGGGGTAAAAAATATAAAAAAAATTAGCACTACCCCCCCTTAGCCTCCTTCACAATGCACTCCTCCCTAATGATTATTAGTCGAAAAAGTTTGATATAATAATTGCATTCAGACACTCTTATTTTAACAGATGCCAATTATTATTTACAGAAATTTTTGAATGGAACATAATGAAAAACTTATTGAAGAATTTTGTAAAAGGGTCCATAAAATCCACCACAACCGCAAAATAGCATTAATTACCGTATTTACAATTATTTAAATTTATAATCTTGATTTTAGTCTGGTGGAACTATTGTACCAATTGAGAAGAGAATGGTTAGGTTCATTGATAATTTTAGTCAGGGTTATAGAGGAGCATTTTCAGCTGAGTATCCTTTTTGATTTATAAAATACATTATATATTTTTCTTCTCATATTCCTTAACAATTTCATATATCTTCTTCAACAAAATTATTCCGTAATATTTTTGAATCGGAAACACTCTAAAAAACCTTTCCATTCTCATTTTGATAAGTGCATTTTAGACATGATCGAACCTGATAGTTTTAAAGAAGGATTTATTGGTATTTAAAATAGATTTAATATATATTTATAAAATGATTAAGTAAAGCAATATGAAAACCAGAAAATTAACAAATTTTACAAAATCTATCATGAATTTCAATCAGATGGTGCCTCCCTACTAGAAATTGAATTTCAAACTGTAACTCAATATCTAAATTTACTTGAAAAATCTTGCCGAATATTAAATCAATTCAACAAGTTAGCCTTAATATATTTATCAGCCGCTGTTTCTGACTTTTATATTCCAGATGAGAAACAAGTAATTTTTTTTTATTAAATAGAATATTTTATCTTTAATTGATGAATTAATTTCTCTGATTTTTTTTTTAAAATTAAGATATTTTATAAGATAAATTATTTAATTATAGGACTATGCCATTTTTATTAATATTAAAATTACTTGATTATAAATATTTATATACAGCATATAGCAAAAGATAGGCAGTAAATTTTTACAAAACTATCCTTGAATGTTAATAAAACTTTAAAATAAGTTATATAACAAAAAATATTCTATCAGTGTTGGCAAATGAAATAAGTTTTTGCCAATCTTATCTTAAACAAATTTTGATTGCCAATTCTAAAACCTTATAATAATTCTGCTTTATAACCTGTTTTAAAGTTATATCTAATTCCAAGATGTTTATACACAAAAATTTGACTGTAATTCTGGTGCCAAGAGATATCACATAAATTTAGATTATTTTAATATCATTAAGATATAGCTTTAATAAATTAATCCCAAAATTTTATTAAATTAAATAAATTTAAACTCATTATAAGATATCACTTTTTAAAAAAATTTATAGTTTTTACTGAAAAAGTATAGAAATTAGCTATAAAATTGACAGATCATTATTTTGAGTAAGACCTATATTTAGAAATTCTGCTCTATATAATCTATCACTGCTAAAATATTTTTAGAAGGTCTACAGATGGTGCCATCATCCAGATACCAATATTTTCAAGTTAAAAAAGGTTTTTTACAAAATGAATTAGGTTATGTATACTTAAACTAAAGATGAGAGGGCCCAAAGGGTCTTCTTGTTGTATACCCTCGTCTAATGGAATTGTATATTCCCCAAATTTGAGTGGTTCTGCAGCCATAAGACTGTTCAATAAATCTTGCATAAACTGGGATTTTTCATAAAAAATGTTCAAAAATACTTTTCTGGATAAAGAATTTAAAGCATTTTTAAAATCAAGCTTATACACTACAACTTCTGGTGATCTTTGATATATACGAAGAGAGTGGGCAGCTATTTTGCATTCTTCTTTAGTACTAAAGCCTAATTCAAGGAATATACAATTCATTCTGAACAGACCCTCTGGGCCCTCTCATATTTAACTAAGGCATACATAACCTAATTCATTCTTTTAAAACCCTTTTAACTTAGACTTAAACATATGGTATTACCATCTGCAGACCTTCTAAAAAATATTTTAGCAGCTATAGATTATTTAGAGCAAAATTCTCTAAACATAGGTCTTACTTTAACTAAAGCTAGATCTGAAATATGCTTTTTAAATTTAAATGTCCTTGAAGTCCTGTGGTTTAAAATAATTAAAGAAAGTGAAATTAATCTTCTTGGTTCACCTTTAAGCAGTATTTCCAACTGTGAGGTGTTCATGAAAATTTTTTTTAAAGTTTTATTAGGTCGAAAATATTTTATAAGAAATTCCTTCACACCAGAGCTTTTTTCTTTTAAGAATATTTATCTTTTATACATAATATCTGGGGAAAATTAGTTGCAAAATTTGCTATATTACTTTTTTTTTTTGGAAAGCGTAACGCGTTTTTCGGTTAGTATAGTAAACGTCGAAAAGTGACGTTTACAGCTGTTTTAAAGAAATTTAACGAGTAGTTAACAAATGTACGAATAGTATTGTATTTTTTTTAACATGGAAAAGGCATTGGACAAAATTTCTTCCACTGGAAAGTCTTCTCTAACCCTGACCCTTTACCCGGTTCCCAAGCTATTGGGCAAAGTAAAATCTGACTGGGCCCCTAATGCTTTCGTGGTATCCTTCAAATTGGAAACTGACGAGGATCTCTTAGTGAAGACGGCTACTAATTCGCTGCTGACTTATGGCCAGGATATCGTGGTGGCCAATCTTCTGGCCACCAAAACCTCTACCGTTCAGATTATAAACCGTCAGAATTTGGCGCCTTCTAATCATTCGATTACGTATAATCATAATAATAGCGATGCTACGAAAGAGGGAGTTGACAAGGTATTTTATATGACTATATCTAAAGTCGCACCTTATTTATATTTACTATTGCTTTTTCATTTTGAGTTAATGAAAAAGAGTATTTATAAATTATATTATATTATATTTTTTTTATAAAAATATTTAGATGGGAAGAAATACGGAAGAAGAGGTTATCGAAAAACAGGTTTTAGCTTTGACCGAAGATCAGATCGCGGGGGACGTTAAGATAGAGGAACTTTTGGTACGCGAAATCGTAGGTCGCCACGAGATCTATATCAGCAGCCCCTTGTCAATTACGTGTTAACGCCGATTGGATGAATAACTTTAAAAATTTGTCAGGAATAATATTCTTAAATTAAATTAGCAAAATTTATTATATATCAAGTTATTTCCGGTTTTTTCTTTTACTAGATAATAATAATAAATTGCTAGAAAAATTAACTTCTAATCACTAAAATCTTTAAATTTGTTACTAAATGCTCAAATAAATTTGATCTTATATAATACTCGCGTAATTATTTACCTTTATAGCGAATTTTTATTTATTGTAAAATTACTTTCTCCTCGTGGATTTATAATGAATGATTAAAATAAAAGATTGTAAAAAAAAAAATTGATGTAATGACTTTTAAAACTTACATTATTTATACATCAAACTAGGAGGATGTATACCAATGCTAACTTTTTTTTACTGATTCCCCCATTACTGCTGAGTAGTGGTTGTTAAACTGCTCAATCCGAGTTCAAAAAACGGCCCTATTAAGATACAATAATATTATGTAAGCTTGGAGATTTTCACTCATAGATTGAGGTTTGCATCAATTTAAACCAAAGGCTCACAAAATATTATTTTAGCTAAAATCTTAATCGGAAAAATCAGATCTTTTTGAACAACACTTACTGCTCAGTATCTGGTCTATTACAATAACTGACAACGATATTTATTATATTTGGATAGGGTACTTAGAGTCTTTTTTTTTTGGCCTAATCAGGCGGAAAATACTAAAATTTTATCAACACCATTTTGACTCTAAGAAACTATCCTTTTTTTAAAAAAAATATACTATTAAAAATTTAATATATTTTGCAAGAAAATGGAATTTTTTTAGTGCACGATTTCATAGAATAGGAGATTTTTAACTAACCTTAAGAGGATTGAAAGATTTATAATATCACCGAAAAAAATAGAAAGTATCTGTTAGGGTTATTGAGTATCGGTTCAAGGGCGTTATTTCGGAGTTTAAAAAAAATGTCTGATCCAATATCTTCATATATGTATAATTATTTACTTCTCTAAGTCATATCATTTTGCAACAAGTAAAGGGTAGTCACATTCACCCATACGCTATTCATATTTTAAATGAGATGATTCACTTGCTGGGAAATCAGATAAAAACGAAATCCTAGCGTATTGGTAACATTTTTTAAAAAAAAATAATTTATCATTCGGAGTTTTTAAACTTTTAACTAAAAAGGGTCCGGTTCTGAATATTTTTTTAAAAAAAATGTGATTTCCGGTTTTGAAACTTGAGGCGGTTCTAGGGATTCAAGTTCCAGTCCTAAACCCTGGCAAAGCAAAACAAAAATTATTTAAATGACACATTTTAAAAAAAAATGGTTTCCCCGATCTATAAAAAATGGGTTCTTCTAATTCCTATCTTTTATTTTCCTGTTCCCGAGATCTTGTTTCGGTTTCAAACTTTGTTATTTTCTAGTGATTTGAACCGCAAACGAACATCGATTCGGTTCAGATTAAAATATGGTTTAGAATTTTTACAATTCTCCCAAATTTTCCAAAAATATTAAATTTTTATTAATTTTAAAAAATTTAATTCAAAAAAAAGTAAAGGGTAAAAAATAAAATATTAGTCTAGTTTTTATTTTGTGAATGAAATATTGATTATTTTTATATTTTTTTTTTTTAAAAAAAAACTTAATTTTGTTTACCTTTAAGGCATTTTAATAAAATTCCAAAAAAAAAATTACTTTATTGATTAAAAATATTAAATGCAAATTTTTAATATTCCGAGTTAAAAAATATATATAAATTTTTCGCTCCAACTTATTTTATTTAAATGACTTCCGTTAACCATTCCTACACTTCCGCTCGTGGGTCTATAGGACTTAGGGCGTGTTATAATTAGGTTTTTGTTTTTAAAACAGGAACCCAGAATGTACCGTAACCAACCGCTAAACCATTATAAACAGATATAAATATATGAACTATAACCGTAACCGAACTTTTATAAATTTTTTCTTAATAACCGTAACCGAACTGAACCGTTATAAATAACGGTTCGGGTCCCGGTTTTTAAATATAAAAATAGGTTATAATTAAATGCTAAAAATCGATAATTATAATGGATAGGTAGATTTATTTACTGTAATTTTGGATTAAATTTTCCAAAATGAGTTCTAACCTACCCAGAGTTTAGGTCATAAATTATAAATACAAATCTATTAGAAAAATTTGTAATACTAAAATATCAACTTCATTAATATATATTTAAATAATGGAAAATTTTTGGAATTACCTCTTAAGAAAATAAACAAAAATTTCTGACTCACCTTATAAAGTTAGGTAAATTTCTGATTCGTCTATCATCAAGTAAAGGAGAAAATTCTGATCCACCCGTCATTTGACTGAATAAAATTTTGTTTCATATAATATCTTATACGGTAACTTCATTAAAATTTCGATGCAAACTTTTTAAACTTTATCTAAAAAAAGGAGAAATAAGCTTTTATAACTATAAAAATAAAAACATGTCCATAATATAATTATAGAAAATTTTAGAAATTTCTAGAAGTTTTGAAACATTCGAAAAACTTTCAAAAGTTTCAAAACTTTTTAAGGTATTAAAAAAAAAGATTTTGGACATTGCATTATAAATTTCTTGCATAGTTATTATAATTATCCTCAACATATCTAACCTATGCAAGAACAAATTATAAATTAAATGGGCAAAAATTTCAAGGTGTGGTGATTTATGATTGGTAAAAATAAAAATAATAAACAAAAATAGATATATCAATTTATAATTCCAGACTGTCAGTCAGCAGCAATGACATGTAATAATCAAATCAGCTGGTGGAAGCCATAATAGTTTGACATATAAAAAAATTTCGTTAAAACTTTTATAATTTTTTTTTATTATAAATAAAAAAAAATAATATATAGGAAACTAAAATGGCGTCTCACCAGCTAATTTTTAATTAAGTTTCTGGATAAGTATTGTATAATCATTGGTCAGCTGACCCAACCGGAGTGTCTACGTCATTATTTTTTCATGAGATGAATGACGGGTTAAATTAAGCAAATTTTTTTTAAAATAATTTATTTACAACAAATAGACATTTTAAAATATTATTATTATTATCAAAAATTCACCGATAATTTTAACAAAAAGCATCAATTCCTTATCATTTTATTTGGAGATCAAAAAGAGAAAAAAAAACATTATTTTTATTATTAATATATTTTTGAAGCCCATATCCGCTCCTATAATTTTTTTTTCAGTTCCTGGCCAGGCTCGACTTCCGGTCGATTTTTAAGGAACGACTCAGCATAGAGTTGTGCAATAAGATTAAATGCACTAACTAAATTTTATTTTCTTTTTATTAACAATTGCATAGTATTTATCAATCATCCCTTCCAATCTATCAGTGAAAACATTTTGCACTAATTATTCTAGATGCAATAGTTATTATTATATTTTATAATATCATTTTATTGTTTAATATTCGTAAAAATTATAAAATACTTAAAAACATATAAAGCCTGTTATAAGTCCGAACTTAACTCAGGGTGTTATCTCAGTATTGGGAGAGCTAATTAAGAATCCAAGGTTTGTTAAATCTTTCTTTATTAAAATAAAAGATTAATTTTAATAATAATGATGTTTAATTACTTACCCTTGAGTACCTAAAATATATAATGTAATTCCTTTCAATAATTCTAATTTATCAAATTGTATAATTACCTTTTCTTTATTAACTATTCCTTTTTTATTAAATTTATTTTCAAAATGTCATCCGATTGTATGTGTGTACAAAAACAATTTTTCTTAGCTATTTATATAGCCATAAAACATTATATGAATTTGCATATTAAAATAATAATTTTTGGAAGAAATAAATACATAAAATAAAATCCATCATTTAAATTAATCTTGTTACATAAACTATAAAAAAAATGTAAAATTTGTTTTGCATATACAAATATAATTTTTCGCAGAAATAAACACATAAAATGAAATCCATCATTTAAATTATCTTTGTTCCATAAATATACTTTGCATAATCCAACAAAGCCGACTCGAAAATAGATATGTTTTGCAGTTTAAATAATAATTTTTTTCGTATCATTTCATCGATTTATATCAAAGGTTACTTTAACCAATTATTTTTCGGTAGCTTGAATTTGAGAAAGATTCTATTATTCGGTGTAATCAGTTACTTACTTTTATGTTTTATGTCAAGCTTAAAACATTTTAAAAAAGAGGTGTTGGAAGAAGTAATATAGTATCATAACAAGTTTATATCTGAAATATTCTGATAATAATACTGTTAGATACCAATAAAACTTATTGGATACAGTATGCTAAAAAAGAGTATAAAGATACTTAAATTATTCTGAACAATAGCTCGGCTGCTTAGAGCCAAATCAGACCTCTTTCTAGGTGATAATTAATGAGGGTCGTTAGATTTTTCAAAAAGGGGGTGTTTTAAAAAAATAATGTTTAAAAAACCCGATTCGGCTGGATTTTTAAAAACGGCCCGATTAAGATTATAACCAAAATAATATTGGGTGAGCTTGGTGATTATGATCATGAATGACAGAAAGGTTTGGGCTTCTACATGCCAAATCTTGAGGATTACACAATAATATTTTGGCTAAAATCTTAATTGGGCAGTTTTTAAAAATCTACCCAAAACGAGCATAAAGTTATATATATAATATCATTCTAATTAATTATAAACAGGGATTTATATCGAACCTTATCAAGCCGTTACAGCGGCATCAACTGTTGTTATTTATCGAACCTTAATCGTTGAAATTATATCCCCCGAATCTTAACCAAAACCTTAAAATAAGTCTGTAATCATTTGAATTACTACTTTTTGAAATTTTTTTATTCAAAATATGATTGATAAGAAGTACCCATTTCTTAGATCATTTTGTACATTGCTATTTATATAAAAGTTTTTTCAACCATAAAATTTATTCTTCCTTATTATAGATATAATTAGAATAAGAAAATCTTTAAGAATATTTGAATTGTACGCAAAGATTTCTACATGAAAGAAGGGTTGGGGGTATTACTCAAGATCATCGAGATTTGGGGGGAGGGGGGTATCGGTGACGATAGTATTGTCATTTGAATAAAATTGGAGGGAAATTGAGGTTTTTTATTTAGATTTCCTTTTTATGCTAATTTTAATTTGATTGGAAAAAAAATTAAATAGTACAGGTGGTAAAACATTAGAGCTGGTTTGAATTTTCGATGGTGTAGGGGGATGTAGATGTCCCTAATTTTAAGGTAATATAGGATTTATGAAAAAATAGTTTTACCAATTAATTATGCTTAATTATACTTACTATAATAAATAATAAAATAAATATTATTTACTTTATTTATAGATTTTAGTAATTAAATTAAAAAGAAATGTGCATCTATAATTGAATTGAATGATAAAAGTTCAGAATCGGATTTTAAACGAACAAACCGAATCAATATTCGTTATAGTTCTTAATTTTATCTATCGTCAAATTTTGGGATACAAATATAAATTTGGATAACGGGTGAATATAAAATTAAAATTTACGTTTGACGAAATAAAAAAAATTGAGTTTATTTAAAAAATTGTTATATAACCCCCCACCCCCTTCCTCATCCTTTGAACTACGAACTAGTTTGCAGCCCAAAATTATTTTTATTCTGCCGATAGGAAATTTTTATAAGAAAAAAAGACTTGGCCAACTTGGTCATACCAAATAACTTAGGTTGCTTTATGATTTTTGGTTAGAGTGACCGATTATAAAATAATTTGATAATATATTTTTATAATTCTTTATTTTATTATTGATATTATTATTATTTATGTATTTTATTTCTATTTAATATTAAAAGTTACATTATAATATTTTCTATTTAAAATTTTTGCTTTATAGAATATTTTTTTAAGATATGAACTTGAATAAAAAATCATTAAAAAATATTATAACGAAAATAACAGAGGTCAAGCGATAGTAAGAATTTTATAGTATAACATTATACGAATGATAAAAGTAAGAATTAAATAAGTTAAGCTTAATTTTTTTTTTTATTTTGCAAATTTAACTTTTTATTGAGTTTATTATTATAAAAAATGAAGAGATAGGTTTACTTTCATAGCTATAGAATAACAATACAATTATTTAAAAAAACAGCAATCGTAATGGCTTGTTTGAGATAGGGCCTTATTACGATCGCTATATATTTGGCTTAATTTTCTCCCTAATATTATGATAAATTTAAGGAATTCCTCATCTTAAATACCAAGAGTAGTAAAAAAATGATGTTTGTTTATTTTCAAATTTTTCAAGAAGCCTTTCTATTGAAACGTGCTGAAATTGTATGTGTAATTCGAAACTACAGAAAGACCAGAAGACTAGGTTCAGAAGATACCATAGGATCTTCTGCTGTTGCTTAGACATAAATTTGTATAAAATGTTTTAGATAAATTCAATATTATAATAGTCCAAAAATAATTATTGTAGGATTGTATATCACATTTTTTATTTTTACTAAATAATATATTATTTACTTACAATGTTGGCAAGTAGTCGGTAGTTAACGTTAAGCATATCTTTTAAATAATTTTTCCTAGTGGTTAATATTTAAAAATAATGAACTGAACGCATGAGAGAAGGGGTTTTCATCAGTTCTGTTTGAAAGATGTATAAATCTCAGTTATCAACCTCGAAATCCTATATTTATATTATTGATGATGGCACAGATGATGAAATTGAAATTATTCCATACAAAAGAGACAAAATTAAACAATTTCTTACTTATGTATTGATCACGTTAACGATTGGTATTGCTGGATTATTATTTTATTGGAAGAAACATTGGTACATCAAGCTAATATGTAATAAAACATCTATAGAAAAATGTGAAATATTAATTATCATTGATTGTTATAAATTATTATACGTAACATATATTCAATTTCTCGATGCTGATGAGCTAAATAGTGAAACTATTATTCATAATGAAGGTAAAAAATTATTGGAAATTCCTGAAAATGCTGGTCAATTTATATATAAAGATAGAATAAAATATTTTAAATATCATGGTAATAAATATATATGGAGAGATGATGAAAATTGCTATAAACATATAAATAATTTTGAGAAGGGTTTAAAATCTTCATATTTTAGTGATTGCACACCACTATCAATAATAGAACAGGGTAGACGTAGAATCTTCTTTGGACCCAATGATATAAGTGTCAAAGTCAAACCCATTTATAAAATATTGTTTTACGAAGTTCTCACACCATTTTATATCTTTCAAATATTTAGTGTTATTTTGTGGTATAATGATGAATATGAATTGTATGCTAGTTGCATACTTATAATATCAGTGCTTTCATTATTTCAAAGTACTTATGAAATTCGTAAGGATCAAATGGCTTTGCATAAACTATCTAAAATGATGGAAATTGTTCATGTATTTCGAGAAGATGGGAAATGTTATGAAATTCCCTCATATGAATTAGTTCCAGGAGATATTATAAAAATTCCTCCCAAAGGATGCTTCATGACATGTGATGCAGTGCTTTTGAGTGGCAGTTGCATAGTTAATGAAAGTATGTTGACTGGTGAAAGTGTTCCTGTCACTAAAACTCCCATGCATGACTCAACCCAAACAAAGATTGAACCTATTTTTGATAGAAAAAAACAATCAAAACATATCCTATTTTGTGGAACTAGAATCATTCAATCACGATATTATGGAACAGAATGCACCAAGGCCTTCATTTTGAGCACAGGATTTAACACAACTAAGGGCGAAATTATTAGATCCATACTGTTCCCCAAACCATGTGTGTTCAATTTCAACCAAGATAGTTACAAATTCATAGCTGCTCTATTTGGTCTTTCCTTTATAGGCTTCTTGTACAGTTCTATACTCAAGATTATGAGCAATGTTTCAGTTAGACTTATTATTCTCAGGTCAATAGACTTGGTCACCATAGTAGTCCCTCCAGCCTTACCTGCAGCTATGACCATAGGCATCGTTTTCGCCAAGAATCGCCTTAAGAAATATAACATATTTTGTGTTAGCCCAACCCACATCAATGTGTGCGGTGTCTTAGACCTGTTTTGCTTTGACAAAACTGGAACCCTTACAGAGGACGGTTTGGATATCCTGGGCATTCTACCATCCCTTGAAGGAGATGATCACCATAAATCGTGTGATTTTTCTGACCACAAAAATGATAATAAAAAATTTGGTTCAATTCTGAAAAACGGCTTTTCCCTATCAAAAAGTCCACTGCTGTACTGTATGTCAACCTGCCATTCCCTCACTACAATAGACGGTGAATTGATAGGAGACCCCCTGGACATCAAGATGTTTGAAACTACTGGTTGGAGAATCAAGGAGCCATCAGTTGACGATTCCCAAAAATACGACATGCTTGTGCCAGCCATAGTTCATCCACCACTTGGCCTTAATGCAGACCTTGATTTAGACAAAGAATCTAGCAGAGAGGAGGCCATTCCTGACCAACTGGCTCAAGATGATTACACATCATCGACAGCTAATTGTGCCGACTTGCCCCACGAAATAGGCATAATCCGCCAATTTCCTTTCCTATCCTCCTTGCAACGCATGAGTGTGGTGGTTCTAAGACTTAAATCTCAAACCTATGAAATATATTGCAAAGGCTCCCCAGAGAAAATTTCCACTCTTTGCCTCCCAGAAACGCTGCCCCCTAATTTTTATACTAAACTAGCGTCGTTCACGCAAAACGGACTACGGGTTATAGCATTAGCGTGGAAGCCATTGCCCGATTTGAAATGGGCCAAAATACAGAGAATCAATAGGGATCAGGTAATTTCTGCTTTATTTTACTAAACTCCTCCAATACTTTAGATTTAGATTTTAAACTTGATATCCGAGCCCTCTATAATATCCAACGAGAGCTCGTCTAGAGTGTGGTTAAACGGCTCGTTTTTGAGCAGTTTTTTAAGAAGCGGCTAACTTGATATTTTTTTATCCAGAAAGAAATTAGGTAAACCCTTGAAGATTCTTCTCATAGATGGGGCATAAAGGCTTGGTCATCTAGCAGCGGAATCTCGAGGCGAATAGTGTTCAAAACGCAAATAATGCATTTTAATTGCATTCGTTTATTAAGTACGTTTGCGTTTTTGTATTTTAAATTATTGATAAGCGTTTTAAAACGCTGCGTTGAAACGTTCAATTTGTACGCGGCTATAAGGCTATACTTTTACGGCTAAAATATTGAGTTTGTTCGGTTTTTAATAAATCGGTTCAAATCGGGCCGTTTAACAACACTAGGCGCACGTCTGGTATAACTAATTTTTTGGCTTGGACACCATTATGCCCAAGTTAAACAGCTGATAATTACCCCCTTTCTTTTTAAAACACGAGCTAAACGGACGGGGAAGGGGGGACGGGAGGGTGAAGTGCTTATCTACGAGGTTCACTTGGAAAGGTATATTAAAGTGATTATTTTGTGTTCACGGAATACCGAAAGTTTTCCGCTCACGTTTGGGGTCCTATATTTGCCTTAGAAAGTTTTTTTTGAAAAACTTTCACTGAATCTGAGTAAATATCTTTCGGAAATCGGAAAATAACGTGTTTCGGAATTTTGGGAGTGATTTTAAATCCTTCTATCCTTTCTTTAAGAAAATTAAAAAATATTTTTGAAATTTGTGATTATTTTATAAAAAAACTATTTTGTCTATTACGGTAATTAAGCTATGACATATTTTTTTTTGAACTATTCATCTTGTCAAAAATATTTATAGTAAAATCTAAGAATTGAACCCCCCCCCCCCCTTCCACCTTTTATCGTCTAAAGTATTTCAAATATTTTTTCGAATATATGCCCCGAATACACTTAATAGAAGCTAATAAAAAGGAAGTAGTTTAGTTCATCTCGAAAAATTATATTTAATTTAATTTAATTAATTCAATATTTATTTTTAATAAATATATAATAAAAAAATAAAATAAAATAAAAAAATGAACGTCAAAAAAATGTTATCCATTTTGATTTTTCAATATTAAAATAAAAATATATAAATAAGAAAATATTTTATTTTAGGTATTATCTAGAGCCTCCAAGCTATATCTAGTTTAATATATCCTTTTTTTTTTATTTATTAAATATTAAATAAAAAAATATATAATATATATATAATATATTAATAAACATACTATTTTTAATAATTCCTTTAAAATCATAACACCAAAAATTTTTTTTTTTATAAAAAATACATATAAAATGATTAGATACTGCCAAGCTAGCATATATAGTATAACTAGTTATTACCAGACACAGTAATTGCTAAGAAAAAATATTTGGAAGGAACTTAAATTATTTCCAAAGAATGTTAATTATAATATTTACAAAAGCTTATAAATTGGGCAATAATAAGCTTATATTTTAAGCATATAAATTTTAAGCTTAAGCGAAATTTAGCTGATAGTTTAACCGCCGACAAAATACATAATTATTACTTAATAATAGTAATAAATTAATAGAAATTAATAAATTTGAATTGGTTATGTTTTTATGTTTTTTTTTCTCGTTTTCTATGTTTTTTTATTATTTTAATTTTTTATAAAAACTTGGGCTGTGTCCAAAATGTTTTGTTATTAATTCGCGAAAATTTATAAATTGTGAGGTTTATTTATTTTCAACACAGCCTAAAGTAACATAAAAAAAAACTATTAAAATATGAGATATTAAAATTTATATGAAAATTGTAAAGAGTCATGGATTGATAAAAAAAACAAAATTTGAGCTGCAAATTTTCTAAGCCAATATTCTGACGCAGATAGTTTAGGATCGCCCGATAGTACTGAAAGCTTTTTTTTCTTAGAGATTTTATAAAAAGGTGAGGGCATCATGCCCAAAATTGCCAAGTGTCGCGGTGACCAGGAGAACGAAATGGACATTGTTTAGGATAATGTGATATCTCTATGTTTTTTTCGCCGTTTTTATTTTGTTTTTTTTTTGGTTTGTTTTATTTTCCATTTTTTTTACAATCCTAAAAGGCAAATAAAATTAAAATATTTAAATTGTGCATTAAAATTATACAATAAATAATATAAAAAATATACCCATATTTTAAAATGTTTGTTGAAAAACGAAGCATAAATTTATATTAATCGTGTTGTAGAGTTTAGTGGTCATATGTGTATAACACTTTTTATTATTTAAAATTCATTTCGTAAGGAAGTAAAGATAGTTAAAGAATGAAAGAGAGAGAAAGAAACAAATAGAAAATCTTTGTTTATTTAACGCGTTAAAACGCAACGATAGAATGAGAACCCTTCTAGTGGGTGATCTAGAGGGTGCCGAAAACGCGAATTATTTTTTTCGCTAACGTCGAAATATTTCGAGGAAAGCTCGATTCTCTTTCCTTCACAGATATTTCGACTCAGGTTCAATCCCCTGCTCGGAACAAATTTTTTCTTCGAAACCAATTCCTTGGATGCAGCAGTTTAGGCAAGTAGAGCGGGGTTAAAAAGGAATCAGAGATGAGAGGATTATGGTTAATGGTTTAATAGAATTTGGTCATTACATTGCTTTTTAACGATTTTCCTAATTCGTATCGTATTATAAATTATTTTTTTTTTCAAGAATAATATTTTTTACGATATCGAAATATTTATTACAAAATTTATAACAATTATATTATTATCGTAGCGTTTTTAAAAGGTTTTAAACTTCCCATTATCCTACTAAATGTTGCCATTTTATTATTTACTTTCTTAAGTAAAATTTTTTTTTTCTAAAACGCCTACGAAAAATCAATATTTGCGTGGCAAACAGATATAGATAAACTATTTCTTATCTATACACGTAACAAGTTTGCTAAATTTCGATAATTTTAAGCATAAAATTACGATCACTTCTAAACGTAAACTCTCTAAGGCCTCACAAGTTTTTTTGGCCCCAGGTTGGTTGACATATTTTTTTAAAAAAAATAAATATTAGGCTTATTTTCACTTAAATTTACGAGAAATGTAAGAAGGGTGGATTAAGTTAGGGGAATTTTTTTTTGGAAGCTATAGAAAGATAATATTTACCGAAACTTTTGAATTATTTGTTTTAAAAAAAGAGGGGGGGGGGAGAGAGGCTAAAACAGCGCGTTTACGGATGCGTTTAAGGTAATCGGGAAATTAATCGTTTTTTAAACTACCTTTAGACAAATAGGAAACTCTTCAAATGGAACAGCCAATATCTTTTATTTATCAATCATGTTGTATTCCAAAAATAAAAAATACTTAATAGTGAATGCGTGATTTTTTTAAAACCTTGGGACGCTATATTTAATATTTTTTTAATTTTTGAAAAGTGGGTTCTACTTCCGGTGCCTAAATTTGGGACGGTTTATGATTTTAAATTTTGCGGAAGGCGGCCCTGGTCCCAACCGTTTTTTTTAATGTTCCCAAATGAATATAGAATATATTTGATTTCGAAGACAATTTCACCACTATTTCATTCTTCTCATTTCTAAAGTATCATAAAGGAGAAGAAGAAAAAAACGGAAAGTTGTTCAAACTAGCCCAATCAAATATACCATTTTACCCCCCCCCCCCAGATGTGGCCTATAATTAATCTCGATATTTCTTTATAAATATGAGATTTCCAATAAAAAAATGAGTAACATGAAATATGATATAATTTTTTTTTGAATGATTGATGTCCTTGCTCAGCATTTTCCCTTTTTTTTTATTCAAAAGATCTGTTCTGACAGTGATTTTTAGATTTAAATGAATAGGATTACCTTAAGGATATCGTCAGACTTTAGGCTAAATTTAAAATTTTAGCAAAGTTACAAGCTGCTATTTTGAATAGAATTCGGAACAACGAATTTGTATTACCTGACCATGGGGTTCATTTTAAAACAAATAATTGTCTTTAGATAATAAGTTGTATTTTGAATACCTAAACCTTAGATCGTTATTAGAAATCGGCATAGCTAGCGTGCCGGTCCTGGGACAAAGATCCTCGGACCCGGCCGGATCTGGTCAAAAAATCCGGTCGGAAATTTCAACGGGGGGGGGTTCGAGCCAACCTCTAATTGTCATTAATAACTTAACTAATAATGCTTTACCTAAAATAATCTCCGATGGACCATAATATATTTTTTATCATTTATAATACTATTATACATTACCTTATATAATATAATGCCTACATAAATCATCCTTAATGATCATTACTTATATATATCTAGGGATATATTAAAAATGAAGTAAAAAAAACATAATAAAAAATAAAAAACTGTTTTTTTTTCTTCTTTCAAATGTAAGATATGTGACAAGCATTTAAATCAATAGAATGAGAGAGTAATTTAACGAAAATATTGGCATGATTATAATTTATGTATACTGAAAAATTTTGCAATAAAATAATAATGGACCATAAATATTGTTAGTAGTAATAAAAAACAAATTTTATTTAAAAAAAAACAGCAAATTGTTTTTTTCATCCCTACTTATACATATAGACCATCTAGTTACTTTCAAAATATCATTTTAATCGATACTTACAATTTCACGATAAAAATAAAATAAAATATAAATTAAAACAGGTTGAAAAGGAGTTGACATTTTTAGGTCTCCTCATCTTCGAGAATAAGTTAAAAGCGGGCACTAAGCCCACGCTACGCGTCCTCAAGAAGGCTAACATACGCACTGTCATGGTCACGGGCGATAACCTTTTGACGGCCGTCTCCGTCGCCAGGGAATCTAACATGATAGAACCGGACGCGCGAGTTAAGGTTGTGCAGATAGACGATGACCCAAGACTCGATTGCGCCAAAATGCTGGGGTTCGAAAATGGCGCGAATATTGATGACGACGATCACGGTTTCATGAGGTCTAAACCCCTGGAATTACGCTTCACAGATTTGAGCGACGGTCTCGCGCTACCCGGTGTTGATTCGTACGAGAAGGGCGACAATACGGATCACGCGTATCATTGTAACGGGCTTAACGGTAGAGCGGAAGGAAAGCTCAGTAGCGATTACAAGATGGCAATCAAAAATGGTCGCAACCATACCAACCATAGGGACCTGTTCAATAAAGCCTCGGGTTTATATTCTTTTTTTTTTTAACTATCCACCCCATTCATTCTTTTTTGAAATATTATATATAAGTTATTAGTGATCTGCATCGGGCGTAATTTTTCAAGCCCGGCCCGAATTTTTTTTAAAAATATTAGGCCGGGCCCGAACCCGATTATTTAAATAGAATTAGGCCCGAGCCCGGCCCGAAACCCGTTCGGTCCGGGTACGGGCTGGGCCTAACTTTGCAGATCTCTATATGTTATACAGTAAATCTATGTTCTGGGGTAACAAAATCCGGGGTATATTTTTAGCGGGTGCCATTTTTTACAATTTCACGATGTCACATGACTATTAAAAATAATAATTTTTTTTTTTTAAAAAAAAAGAAGCCTCTATGGAAAAAGGTATAAAATGCCACCTAGTCATGACCGGTGAAATTTTTCAAACTTTGCTCGATCAAGACCCTGCACTATTGGATCGCATTTTAGCTCCATCCCAATGTAAAATTCAAAGTAATAAATCACCCATCCATTTGGTTCTTAATGTTTATCATATAATATACCAGGTGCTTAGGCAGCGGGGGTGTGGGTGGAAAGGGGCTGGAGGGAGGGAGACACCTCTTCCCCTTCTCCAAGCCAAAAAAAATCAGATGCGGTTAAAATATGTTCCTTGAATATATTACTGATTCCTACATCTTACGTTTTTAATTTATTTTGTGATTAAATATCGATTTCATATTTTTCCTTGGCGTTACATTTACGCGGCACTGTAAAATTTCCCGCCAAATCATTCGAAACTTTTTCAACCAGTAAAATTTAGGGATTATGAGAATAGGCGAAAACATTATATTGGAACTTAAAGGAATTCGTAAACTATGTCATTTGTTGAATCAAAAAAGGAGGTAGAGCTCTATAAATTTTAATATTTGTCTACCTCGATTCGCACCAAGGCAAGTCCAAAGTTTCAATGGTAATATAGCGTCAGTCGAAGAATATAAAATTTCCTCTTCATCTCCCTGTTGGGTTACATATAACTCGACATGAAGGAATAGTTAACGATTCATTTGGTTCTTTTTCCGTTAGTTCAGTTTGGATTTTCAATCGAATCTTAAAATTTCCGAGTTGTTCAAGTGCTTCAGGAATAATCATACTAATCTTGAATATATAGAAAAAAAAATAGATTTGGAAGTAGATATATCATTCATCCCCAGCCTTAGCTTTTTGTTTTATCATATAAAGCCGGGGTTAAGGTTAGCCCTAATTTTATACTATAACCTAACCTGAATAAAGTGTATTTCAATTATTAATTTTACTATAGTTTTTAAATTGATTAATATGTGTTTCTTAAAGTTATAGGTGGCAATATTAATATTTATTCAGTTTAGCTAACTTAGATTTCGTGAACTAAATTTGTTTTTTATTTGGAAATTATATTACACATTTAATACAAATTTATATTTTTTCAAATTTCTAATGGGTATACAATTCGTGTTTTAATAAATGTCAAAAATATTTAATTCGAAGGGCTATCGTTTAAGGCCGAGCCCCTAGGTCGACATAGTAAAAAAAACAACCGAAAAAACGAAAAAAACGAGAATAAAATACGAAAAAAAATGCCATTACTTTAAAACAAATCATATCTCACTAGTCTATACTAAAGAGTAAGTGAGTGTCAAAATCTTTAAGGCTCCCCCCCCCCCATGTTTTCTATTTTTTTTCCATAAATAAATACCGATATAAAAACGGTTAATATCTAAAAATATTATTTATATGATAAACATCATTAATCTTTAATGATTTTCAGCGATTCCTACATTTTAATTCCTCGAAAAAATAAATAAAAATAAAATGATTTTATATGCTTTAACTATAAATAAGGCGATTTTTACGATTGCGATTCCACGGTATTCGCTCGCATGAGTCCGGACGCTAAAACGGCCCTGGTGGAACGTTTCCAATCCCTAAATTACCGCGTGGGGGCATGCGGGGACGGAGCCAACGATTGCGGAGCTCTCAAAACGGCTCACGCCGGCTTGGCACTCTCCAATTCCGGCGATTCCGGATCAAATTCCAATTCTGGTACTTTATAAATTTGACCGAACTTAGAAAGGAATAACTATATTTATTTTGAGAATAGTGGTTTAAATCTCTTCCAGATTTTGTAAGATAGCGTGGATAATGAATGACGTTAAATTGAAAAGTGGGAAGAAAAAAATAAAGAGGCAAAATCAATTGAAAGGCTAAGTTTTCTTTTGGTACAAAAATAAAATCTTATAAAATTATTATTATTATTAATATAAAAACATTTTTTTCTTTCTTTCTTTCTTTCTTTCTTTCTTTCTTTCTTTCTTTCTTTCTTTCTTTCTTTCTTTCTTTCTTTCTTTCTTTCTTTCTTTCTTTCTTTCTTTCTTCTTTCTTTCTTTCTTTCTTTCTTTCTTTCTTTCTTTCTTTCTTTCTTTCTTTCTTTCTTTCTTTCTTAAGATTTGAAATGCGATTCAAAGTCGGGCAACAACAACAACGACGACGCTTGTTTGGTCTCGCCTTTTACTTACACGCGTGGCGATATTCGCGGGGTTTTACCGCTCATAGGGGAAGGTAAAATAAATGATTTAGAATTGTTTTTATTTAATATCGCATATCACCCAATAAAACCGCTGGTGATTTTTTTTAAAAAAAGGCTTAGGCCGTGCAAAAAAAAACGAAGAAAACAAAAAGAAAAAAGAAGAAAAAAAATGAGAATAAAATAGGAAAAATAAGAATGCCACTAAATACTTAAAACGAACAAAAATAAGGCGTCCTCCTTCAAAAAGCTTTTTAGCCTATACTAGGAAGCAAAGTATCTAAATTAAAGCTGACCTAGGCTATACGGCCTTATATCTTTTAAAGTACATAAAATTGAAATTGTTTTTAGATTTAAAATCATTTCTAGCTTAAAACGGTTGTTCTTTCTTTTCGTAAATACTCCGCTCTTAAAACAATTTTTCGCGCCAAATTTTAAGGAATCAATGTTATCGAACGTACGTGTCCTAAGAATGCGTCACTAAAATTAGTAAAACAGTTTTGCGTCAAATAACGTTTATTTACTTCGCACCCATCCGGCAAGAAAAAGGGGGAGTTTCGCGAAACCAATTTTTTTTTTGTTTTTAGGAATTCATTTTTTCGATCAATTTTAAAAATTAATAAAATGTTCCGATAATCAATTGATTCTCGAATTGTTTCCTATTTTTCAAATTTTTGAATTTTCTTTTAAAATCCAATCGGATGTCAAAAAATTGGAAACTTTTTTTCTCATTGGTTGAATTTTTTTTAAAAAATAATTAGCGCCAAACTTGATTATTCGAGGGTTGTTTTATTTTTAAAAATGACCAACTCAATATTTTAGTCAGAAAACTATTGCATAAGTCTCAAAATTTTGTTTATAGGTGCCCAAACCTTTCTGTCACTCAACGAGCAAAATCACCAGGCTTGTGTTATATTTTTTTTTGTTTAAAATTATAATGTTCTATATGTATATCAAACAATAATATTTATTTCTTATCAATATCGAAATCCCAACATATATGTCACATGATTCAATTTTAACAAAATAATCGTAATTATAATATCTTCTCGAAAATATATTGAAAAACGTCCATATATGTCCTCCAAAATCAACAGATACAAAGATTAACACCGAGCCATTTAACAACACTAGGTTAGATACTTTGTTTAGAATCCTACCTGATAAACAAAGTTTTGTTGGGCCCCCTGTCTGACGCTATTATGAGACGAAAGGTCTCTGCGTTATACGCTCGTGTTTTTGTGGCCCATTTTTATTTGATTAGCGCGTTTAATTAAATTGTAAGTTTTAACTTGAAATTCCTATTTTTTTTACCCCGATTTTTAAAACATGTATATATATAGGCCGCTGCGCTCTCGCTACATCTTTCGCCGTTTTCGAGTACATGGCTTCTTACAGCTTGGTCCAATTCACCTCGGTATTACTGTTATATTGGATAGGCGCTTCTTTCAGCGATCAACAATTCGCTTACGTGGACCTGGTTATCATCACGCTTCACGCGCTCGCTTTTGGACGGACTCACGCTTACAGGAAGAAAAAGGGAAAGAAATTACGCAAGATGGATAAATACGATAATGCCCAAGTATCCGGTTGTGATAACAATAAAGGGAAGAAAAAGCGGAGGAGAAAATGTAAACGCAGTTTAACCCTTTATTACCCGCCCATATTATTTAATTTTACAGTTTAATTAACGTATTTTTTTATGTTTACAGCCTTTTTCGACATCGACGACATAGCCTTATCTCGGACTCCGCCGGAATCTTCCCTAGTCGCCTTCGCCCCTATCTTCTCGCTGGCCACTCAAATCCTGATTCAGATATCGTTCATGGTCCTAGCCTACTTTTGGGTTCGGTCGCGACCTTGGTTTGTCCCTTATGACCCCGAGTCAGACCCGCACGAGGAGTTCATAACTCACACCGTTACAGTAATCTTCTACGTCTCGGCCTGGCAATACATAACGTTGGCTCACACCGCTTCAACCGGTCCGCCCCATCGCCAACCCCTCTACACGAACCCCCTCTTTGTCGGGGCTTCTTTGATATCGGGGATATTCACCACTTTTTTCCTCGTGCTTTTTCCTTTCCCAGCCGTGGCCCGGTTCTTTTACCTCCAACCTTTACCTATTAGCGAGCGGTGGTACAACGCAAATAATTTTAAGACCTCGAATTACACCGGAAACCTTGACTATAACGTCTCCTCTCTTCTAGCTCCTGGTAATAATGGGACTACTCTGAACAAAGCTATTCCTAGAAACGTTCCTCTTTTTGATCTCTTTGGGCCTAGATTCGTCGTTATGTACATAGTTATCGCTAATTTCCTCGTTTCCATGATATGGGAACGGTTTATTTGCGACAAAATTATTTCTCCGCTAACCAAAAATAGGGATATACTTCTGCGCAAAAAGATTCCCAAATTTAAGCAGCTGGCTCTCGGATCGTGCAACCATAACTTTGATCGGTGGTTCGGCACCACCGCCACTTTTAGCGGAGATTGCGACAAAAATTTTCACTTCTACGAAAAACTTCCCGAAAATTTAGGTTTGGGGAGGATGGTTTACGAAAATCAGCCCTCCCCGATCGTTGGCAACCTCAAGTCTCAAATTGCTGGGTATCGCCACCCAACCCCTCCCAAAACCTTATCCATAAATCTCAAAAATGACAAGGTAATCAAGAATAGAACTTCAGGTCAGCCCTTGTTACCTTCTTCTGAGCTCAGTTCTAATACGTGCAGCTGTTACCCAACTAACCCTTCGAAATCGCCCGTCTCCCACTACCCCCTTTTATCCTCTTCCGATAAGACTACTCCCCAAAGTATTCCTTACGTTTCTTACTCGTGCGCAAAATATTACGACAACCAACTTATTTATAATAATCACAATCGCGCGAGCCCCGCGTCAACTCGAGATAATCGCCCTTTCGACAGAATCCCTCCGCTCGGCGAAATTTACATACCAAAAGATATAACTAAATTATAACACCCCCCTATTCAATAATTTAACGTTTTTTTAAAAAAAAAAATAAAATTATTTGACACACTTACGACTTCATATATATCTTTTTTTTTTAAAAAAATTGTTAAAAAATACGCGAGTTACATCGTATTATGTAACTGTGACCCGGTGTATACGACCTGAGAAATTATTTTAATTGTATCGACATTATCGCTTTATTGACTTGGTTGGCTTATTGATAATAAGCAAGTATTACGCTTTTTAATATATATATAGTTCGCCTTTATATTTTATATTATTATTATTATCACTCACGACATTCTTTCTTTTTCTTCTTCTTGCTACTTGCACAAATTATTATATACCTTATCATAATTAATGTTTATGAAATTTATACATTATTATTATATATATTTTCTTAAAAATGACCAAAAACGGTGATATCATAATATCTATATTTCTTATACGTTCACTTTTTCTTTTTTTTAATGTTTTAGTCCACAAATAAAGATTTAAAAAAGGGTGTGCCATTTGTTAACTATTTAAATAATATAGGACTTCGAGATTAGTTATTAAAATGATTCAATTATTAGATACAGTAATTTATAAATTTTTGTAATCATACAGACAAGCTACTTAAAGTGCATTATCCTTTCTTTTTTATAATCACACAGACAAGCTACTTAAAGTGCATCCTATCCTTTCTAGAATTAAATGTAATTAGGACACACATCAATTTTAAAAAAATCAGTCTATCTAGTTTCTAATGAAGTTTTAATTCATTTGAAATTAATTCTTTTTTTTGACAAAATAATAACTAAAGAAAGATTAGATTTCACTGCAAACTTTAATATCTGAAGATTTACGAGAAATAAATTTCTTTATGCAATTTCATCATAAATAATGAATTTTTTTCAAAAAAAAGATGATTACATTATTCAAGTCTAGTCAATGTAAATCTTTATAAAATTCTCAATAAGTAAATCTATACAGCTAATTAATACTATTTTGAAGTGCATCCTTTGCTATATTTTGGTATTGTAATTTTTTACACTGTTAAGTTATTTTATCCTAATATTTGTCTTGGTATAAAAACAACATATCAATTTAGCATTATTTTATATTTAATATAGATTCAAACATGTATACATGTAAAAACTAGTTAATTTTGCATGACATATTCCGATTAAGGAATAAATTTGAATTACCAACAAAACGATACAATGTTATATAAGGTATAAAATTGTATCGTTTTTAAAAAAATTTTTATTCGGTTCCCGGTTTCGGATATTAAAAGTATGAAAATTTTATGCTATAAAAAAAAACTCTACCAGTATTACAACACGCCATTTTATAACTCACATAATTAACCAACACAACTATAAAACTAAAATTAATAAATTTGCAACTTCAAATTTTATTCGTCAACTTAAAAAAAATCATAATTATAAAATCTAGTTCCCTTTATACTTTTTTTGAGACAAAGAGATCACGTGTTTTACATGTGATTATAAAATCAGGTGACTACTTGTAAATTTGATAAATATTAAACAAAATAATTTTTTTTAAATAAATAATAATATGCTAAAAAAGAATTTTCGGATATCGACTAAAGCTTAAATTATTTTTCTTCCTTCACTCAGATATTTTATTTTCCACCGAACGTTTTTGATTTTTTTTTGTGTTTAATCCTTAAAAGTTCGTATTATTTCCTCATAGTTTGTATAATTCTTCTGTCGGACCCAAAATGTAAAAAAACTAGATTCGGTGCAGAGCTCTAGCAGGAAGATTCCAAGAAATCAAATATCTATTCTTCTGAGACTTAAAAAAGAATAAAAGTTTAAAAAATGACGGCTATCAAAAGGTCGTTTCTAAGTTTAATCTAAAAATCCGGAAGGAAGAATAGCATAATTATATAAACATGAAATGCTTATAATACATGTTTTCGAAATATGTGTCCCTATATTCAAAATTTTACACCCGATGTGCTAAAGTAAAGTCTTCACTCATAATATTTTTGAATAGTATTTGCATCTTAAAATACGCTAAAACCAGCCGACAACATATGGAATCCTGGTTAAGAAAAGAATAAATATAAGCGATTTTTTCAGGTCCGTGAAGTTGGCGGAACGAACATTTCATTCCGAAGATAAATTAGGATCAATTAGCGGGCTATACAGTAGTATAAGTTTCGGTAGTTGTCTTGCTTCAAAATTCCACACTTTCCTTATATTGCTTATAACTTATTAACCTTTAATTCCTTTGGTGTCTGGTTTGCAGATCAATTAGGATCATTTAAGACTCTAAATATTAATGTTAACCATCAATCTCCTACATTTTTGAAATTAGAATAAAAACATGCCAAGAGGAGATCATAACAGAGGTTCTGAACCGAAGAACCAGCATATAGAAACTTTTGAAGAAGAATGCTAAGCTCGTAAATTTCTTGCCCCGGCCCCTAAAATAATTTTATACAAATGTCAAGTCCTGCCTGCTTCAATAATATTTTTTTTGTATGACGGAAATAGGACATAAGTTTTATTTAATTTTAAACTTTGAGAAATTTTTGCCCTATTGTATAAAATAATTTTTTCACAAGATATCTTGCCACCCGAAAAACCTTTATCCTAAAAAAACTGACAGGGCCAGCTAAAAAATAGCTGAGGGTAGGCCAAAAAACCTGCTAGAAATTTCCACTGGGCCCTATTTTAGCTAAAATTTTAGAAATATAGGGGTCAGAATATAAATTTTCCGTAAATATATTTTTTTCTTTAGTAATTTTAGTAGATTTGCCATTAAATTATATTTTTTCTTCATCTCTTTCTTTCTTTCTTTCTTTCTTTCTTTCTTTCTTTCTTTCTTTCAATTGATCTGTTAATAAAACATATGTTCTTCTTAATTATTTGAAGGTTTATATTAACAGTAAACTTAGTTCATTTATTTTAATCAATTTATCAGTTAAAATAAACATTACCTGCCATAAAATATTTCAAATTGTCCATAAAATTTATTCACTTACGATATATTTATAAATATATTAAAACAATAGTACACGCCACCTTGCGGATGAATTCTTATAATTCCAAATTTTTAAAAAATAATTCTTATGAATCCAAAATTTTAAAATAAAACCTAATTTTAATTTAAACAAATGAATATTAAAATAATTATGATTTCGGTTCTTAAAAACTGGTTTTAAAAATCTTTACAAATCTCCAGCGTTTTATTCGCTTCAATTTTATTTGTACTAGCGCTTTTTCCGCTTTGACAATACTTGGAAATTTCCCAACGATATACCGTTTCAACTTATTTGTATTAGAGCTTTTTTCGCTTTATCAATATAAGTAAATCTCCGTTCTGGTGTTCAATCAACACGGCACCAATTTCTTAATTTTTAAATTTTATTTCCTTTTTCAATTTCTAATTTTCTTTATTGTAATTAACAGGAAGAATGTAATTTTTTTAAAAAAAATATAATAATAATAATAATAATAATCTCTTCTTTTTCAGGGTTTTTATAACCCAACATAAAAATATAAAAAATTAATAATGACAAAATTATAATATTGATAAAAAATCAAATAATATTGATTAAAAAAAATTATTAAAAAAAACAAATAAATTTACCGATAGCTTGTTTATCACATTATCATCAATAACGCAATTAATATGTAGATGTTAATAATCTATATCAATTAAAGAAATCTTATATGTTATAGTATAAACTATAAAGACTGGTTATATAATGTTATAAGAGTGTATCTCTTTTTTTTGTCCCATTTTAATAAAGACACGTTCATATATTCATCAACTGTTTCTAAATACTAGTATTTTTATCCTTAGTTGTTAAATTGTGACGTTTTGAGTATCATCGTGATATAAATAATCTAGCGTTGTTAAACGGCTCAGTATCAGCTGATTTCTAAAAATGGCTAACCCAATACTTCATCCAGAAAAATATTACCTAAGCCTGAAGATTTTGCTCATAGAAGGAACAAAGGTTTAGATATGTTTTATCGAAATCTTGAGACTTAAGCCATATTTTTGTGGCTGAAATATTGAGTTAGCTGTTTTTAAAAATCAGCTAATAAACAAATTATATGAAATTTAACACAATAACATAATTTAAGGTTTCCTTTATTCATAACTATACATTAATAAATTATACATTAAAAACATAATAAAATTATAAAATTAAATTTATAAATTTAAAAGTGACAAAAAACTGAAAAAAAAAATTTGGAAAGTTTATATATCTTTTTTTTTAAACTTCATTTGCATAGTCTGAAATTTATATAATATCGTAATAATTTGAATACTTATTTTTTAGTTTTTGATTTGTAGATTATAATTACAAGTTGAATTAATAAATAAAAAGTATTATTTACAGCTCATATTTTAAGAAATAATTTTTAAAATTAATTCATCAAACTTGGTTTCTAAACATTCTTAAATTATTTTTTTTTTACGCAACCTCCCACATTACCAATTGATATATTTTATGAATCCAACTCGCCTTTTAAAATTTTCTTTATTTTACTTTGAGTTCAGCTTCATGATACTAAAATTTACTGGCTTACAACCTCCCTTTTCAAATTCACAGAGTAATCATTTATATAAAAATAATATAATAACAAAATCCAAAATGGTTGACATTCCTTATAAATATATTGTTATTTTTAATTTAAATTAATTTCCATATTGAAACAGCTGCAGCACGCCTGCCCATCATACGCCAATTGTCCATCTCCTCATAGTATCTATGAAGTTGAAATGTATCGATGTTCAGACCCATCCCGTTATCGTATTTTTGACATTGTCCATTTCTTTTATTATTCAACAAATCGTCCCTTTGGATTGTATGGTATTTATTTATCGAATCGTACAAGTTGAAATTTACTAAATTAAATAATATTTTAAATATAATTAGATTAAAAGATTTAAACCAACTATTATTAGATTAACGAGATGCAATTATTAAATTTAATAAATCTTTCGTGTTATTAAATTTAAGGGGAACTGGGGGTAAGTTTGGAACACACTTTTTTTTTTTTATTAGAGTCTAAATAAACTGGTGGCATATTTGGGACATACAATTTTTTTTTTTCAAAATAATTTTCATTAAAATCTGAGATGGATAAAAATAGAAATTGTTAACATGTAAATTAGAGTCTAAAAGTTCCATGCAATTTAAATTAATCTGGATAAATTACAAATTCTTCTAAGCATACGCTATCTAAAATAACAAAATTTTTTTTTCTATTTGAAAGATGGTACATCATTTAGAGGTAGGCTATTTCAGCACATCTTATCACCTAAGAAGTAAACGAAGTTTTAAAATTTCTTTTAAATATACTGAACTAAATTAGTGTGTAGAAGGTCTGAAATGAGCTTGTTCATAGCCAACAAGCCTCGCTCGTCCAATCGTTTTTAAAAGACTTTACCCTATTTTTGGTCTAAATTTTTTTTTACCTACCCGCTATTATTTATAAAAGAAAATTTTAACACACACAGCTGAAATATAAAATTTAAATAAGCTCATTCTACCAATTTTTTTAAGCATCCAATAAAAAAAAAGAAGAAAGATTTAGTTTCAGGGCTAATGTTTTATAATTTAAATCGCCATATTAAGCATAAATAAAATATTTAATTTAAAATTACGGATAAGGAATTTATTTGATCTGACAAAATATTTATGTAATAATAAAAAATTAACAATTATCGATATTTAAAAAAAAAACCTTCTAGCTATGCTAATTCCTCGTTCAGAGAAACAATATTTTTCTAGCTAATCTTAATAGCTGTGATAAATTTTCATCTTGACGTCTCCATCAAAGTGGGATATCTGATTGAAGTGCGACCTCTACACAAGAGATATTTAAATAAAAAGTGGATAAAATGATTTTTATAAATTGTAAACTTAAACTAAACTGAGTAGCTTAAAATCTTGCAATATTATATGAAAAACTCATTACTTTAAGATTCAAATATTTTGTTATGTTATTAGGTAATGCCCTCCCCTCTGTAACAGCCACATCTTCCCATTGTTGTTTAATTTTGACGTGGACACTGCTACCTATCTCAAACATTGTATTTATGATTTAATAATCTTTATTTCAATCTTTGCTTATGAACGGGTAAAATCAGATTTTCATGTTATATTCCTGCAAACAAATCAAATCCACATGTTTTCGATATATATATTTTTTTAACCTAATTATTTTCTTCCTAAGATAACATATTCAGTTATCGCTACTTTGGTATCAAATGTTGAAATTTCAGGGAATAACAAAGTTGTAAATTTTTCAACTCGTCCGCCTGCTCACCCTTAGTTTAAATGTTTTATTTTTCATTTGCTACTTAGATGGGCGGGCATAGGTGGGCTAAAAAAGCTTCCCAATACAGACCTCTAGTTTATATCACAAGTGTTCACCAGATCACCATTAGAAACATTTTTAATAACTTTATTATATCTTTATATTTTTTTCAATCTTTTATTTTAATATATTCCTAGAGACTAAGCAAATATTTTTTCAACTATGATTTTAATGGACTAATTTAATTAAAATAAAATATGCATCAATTAATAGGAATAAAGTTCATAGGGTCAACTATCTATATTCCATGTTAGTTTTGTAAAAAAATAATATATCTCAGATATTCTCAAGCCAATGATATACAACACAATTAGCTTATATTAGATTCACTCATCCACCATAATAACTGCTCATATTATAAATGAGATGGTTAATTTTTGAAGAATAAAAACACAAAAATATACTTAATAATCCAGGAAAGTTAGTAGGTCTTTTAAATTTAAGGTATCAATTTTTTTTCACATTAGTTCAAAGATAGATGGGAGATAAAAATAAACCTAAATATTGGATCAGTGAATTGATTCTGTAACAATATTGACTGGATTGGTAAAAAATTTGTGAATTGGCACAATTAAAATATACTATATTATTATAATTCATTTAGTCACTGCAGCATTAAAGAACTGTCGGTAATATTGAAGAATAAAGATTATCAAGTAGCATCACCTTATTTTGAGCTATCTGGTAATTGAAATATCAGGAAAAAAACAAAGACTGCTTACAAAAATTAAATTATCTTTTAACATATAAATTTAATAAAACTTAAACATTTTTTTAAAAATATTTATGTATGTGATAGTTTTATAGTTAATATATACATATTTTTTTAATAAGAGAATTTAATAAATTATCTTTTAACATATAAATTTAATAAAACTTAGACATTTTTTTAAAAATATTAATGTATGATAGTTTTATAGTTAATAAATACATATTTTTTTAATAAGAAAATTTAATTTTTTTATTATGCGACATTGGCGTAATAAGTTTATAATTAGAATCTCCCTTTAACCATTGAGAATGAGCTAAAGAATTGTTATATCCCATCTGATAAAGATATTCTTCAAAATTATCTAATTTCTGCAGAAATGGGTCATTTAAAGAACTGTTCACAACAGTTACATTGCTATTATAATCCCCATTTTTATTGTCATTACCACTATTTATGCTTAAATCTTTATCATATGTGTCTGATGCTCCAAAGCTCTGTGAAAACAAGATAATTTTGTTAAATCGGACTATAAATGCCTAAACAAAAGAATTTGTTGATAGAAATAAATTAAAACATTACTTTTAAAATTGATTCACACATAGAGTTAAGATGATCAGCAGATTTAAAGATATCAATAAACAGTATTTTTTTTGCTATTAAGTAAAAATAGGGTCCAAGGGAATTTAAATTTATTGTTAAGGAATCAGCTTCTAATAAAAGTCTTGTAGAATTCCTATATAATAAATAATAATAAATGAGTAAATATTATTTGTAACGTATATGCTTTAGGTAATCCCATTTCTATTATTTTGCTTTTATTATCATTTAATATTAAGGATAACCATATAGGTATGTCTATATATGATCCTACAGCAATATCTTGGGTATCTCCTGTTCCAGCTAAGATTAGATCAAAATAAAATGGTAATATAAATTATTACTAATAGGTTTAATGGAATAATTAAGCTTGCACTTAGTTTTTTCTTGTGTAGCAATTATGGAATCAATATTAAAATAGTCATTATTAACAGAAAAATGCATGCTTGTAAAAAATTTGAATTTTTGAGCCTAACTATTTAAAAGTTAGACCTTAAATTTTTTTTCTACAATGTAACTAGTCGTCACTAACCTTTACAATCTCAAGAGGCTCAAAAAATTTTACTTTTTTTTAGCTAACATCACCCAAAATATTTTTTCTTTTTTTTAAAAACTAACATTACCAAAATTACATTTGGTATTAAAAAAAATAAAAATTTTGAGGGGGTTCTGAACCATCTTATGTACTTGCTATTGTACATTGTTTCTTATTATACTTTTTAAATATAGCGAAAATAAGTTATATTTTTAATTAATTATATAACCTTCTTCAAAGAACTCAATTTACCATATTCGTATAATCACTGATAAACCCAGGCAGCGTGTACATGGCAGAAAATTTGATGGAGGCAAACCCCTCCAAAATCTACCCATAACCTAAAAAAAATCCCGCGGTCTTCGGCCGCGAAATTTACAGACCTACGATGTTATAGTGATTTTATTTAAAAAATCTTATAATAAGCCACCATTTATAACCTTACAACACAATTCTATTTACAATCTTTCAAGCCTGTTTAGGGAAAAATTTTTTTTTAAATTTGTAGGTGATAATCAACTTATATTTAAATGGAATCTTTTCATAATTTGGTTGATATTCACTTTATTTTCATAAATATATATATAAGTGAATTAAATGAGATAACATATTAATATTTCTATAAAAAAGATCTAAAATATTGTAAAAAATATAAGACGAATAAATTTAAAGAGGTATATTTAGTTTGATTCCACATATCTATATTACCTTTTAATTAATTAAAAACATGTATTGTAAATAGAGCTATTATATAAAATATTAGAATAAAATGAATTTTAGTATATTTTGCATTGAAATTATAAAATTTTAAATTAAATTTACATATTTTAAAAGTGTATATATTCGCAAAGATACATTACTTATTTTATTAATAATCTGGATAACCTTATAGATGTTAATAGAAATAATGTTATAATATCATCAATTGTAAATTTTTCAAAAACATCAATTTCGCTGGTTAACATTAAATTTTCTAAAATGGGTCCGAAATTTTATTCCGCATTCGAGTTTTGTTAATTTTTAATTTACTCATGGCTCTTTCGGCTGAACAGGAAGTTGTAGGAAGGGTAAATAAATATTTATATAATAAATTTAAATTAGAATAAGAATTTTATTGATTTAAAAGTCGGTATAATAATATAAAAGAATATTTTATCTATTTTTTTATTTTGGTCATGATTTCGCTGTTGATATTTTTTTTGGTAGTTTGATCGTTTGCAATACCTTTAATTATATACAATTACAAATATCAATAAATTACTTTCATCAATATATAACGCTTCATTCTTTTTAACTTTCAATAGATCTTCGCAAAAAATGATTGATTGAGACTCCAAATATAAAGAGCGAAAATCATTATATTCTTCAACAATGTTTTGGACATCCAATTGATAAGTATGCCAAATTTCGGATATTTGCCATCCTTCTATTTTTTCATTATCTATAATTCCAGCGGGAGTAAAAATGGATATTTGTGATAAAAAATTTAAATAATCATAATTAAATCGAAAATTTAGGTAGTTAATTATTGTATTTACCACAAGGAAAAATATTTCCGTTCTATATCTATAACAATAAATATTTACAATTTTTTAATTCATTCAACTTTTTTTATTGTTCAACATAATTATTGAATTCTGTTTGATCCAATTTGAATATTGATTTCATATTATACAAATCAGTTATTACATTATTCTTTTTCAAAAAACTATTAGATAAAGAATGTAATTTTAAAAATATATTGTCTCCATTAGCTATATTTTAAAATTATTTATAGAAATAGTAACTAATATTAACCTTTTAGTCATTGTAATTTATTTTTTGTATGTTGTATTAATTTGGTTACCAAAGCCAAATCATCACCAACTGCCTGCATTTCAATACAAGCCTCATGTGTACATTTCAATATTTCTTTCAAAATAAAAAGACTTAATATAAAATTTTCATCTTTAATTCTTGATAATAACCCATCGGCAATGGAAGAGGTGCTTGGGTCATTAGAATCTTTTAATTCAACTAATGATGCTAAAATATGTTCATAAACATCTAAAAAGATTTTTACAGATTTGTAGGATGATGACCAATTTCTGAAAATATATAAGTTTCATTAAAAATATTTTATTTACCTTGTGTTTTTAATTCTTTTAAGAGATTTCTTGGACTTTCTCATTTGATATTTAACAAACACACCTTGACGTCTAACTCCATTCATAAAATTATATAACTCATCTAATATTCCCATTGCCTTTTTCATTTCAATTTTGCATCCACAAATATGAGCAACTACTAAATTTAGCCGATGTGCATGGCACCAAATATAGATGGCTTTTGAGCCTCTTTCAATATTAAAGCCTGCATTCCTTTGTATACTCCTCTCATATTCCCTGCATCATCCATACTTTGTCCAACCAAATAATCAAGAGGAAGACCAAGATCATTAAACTTAGAAAAAACATGTTTCTTTATATTTTTCCTACTGGTTTCTGATGTAGTAAAAACATGTATGATCCTTTCTACAGAATGTGGTTGCAGATCATCTTCAATATACCGTACAAGCAAAGCTATGCATTCTTTTTTAGACACATCATATGTTCCATCTAATATGATGCTATAGGCACGATTCTCTATAATTTTTTGAACAATGCTCTTTGTTATTTTTATCTTAATAATTTCAGTTATTTTTTTCACGTGGCCATATGACAATAAACTTATATAAGGTCTCGAAATTTTATCTGATTTTTTTTCTCCACAATTTTTCATTGTTATCCATGTATGCACGTAAAGTTGGAACCGTTTTTGCCATTAATTTTATGAGACACATAAAATTACCTTCATTCGAATTAGAACCCCAAAAGGCTATATTACATTTTATAAGGTACATAATGGCATCGATAATATTATGAACTATATTACGATTTTCCATAATTATATCAAGCTTATTTGATAGCAAATGATCTTGAATGCGTTTATTTGCACGCCAAGTCATGTTTGCATATTCACAATCTTTATGAAGAGAAAATGCTTCGTGTCTCTCTAAGTCACGCTTTATGTTTTCCCAATTATTTACCCCTAAATGAGTCCAAAAAGTATTGGACTTAGGGCCACCAAACATAATACAATATAGACAAAAGACTTTGTCTAAAGTGCTATAAGATAGAAAATTTCTGGGGTTGAGGGAATCATCTATATTAACCTTTCTATAATAGGTTATATTCATGCCTATGTTTAAAAAGTAAAAAAAATAAAAGGTATAGAAATAATGGATGGGTAAAAATTAATGAAAATTAAATATTATTTAAAACCTCTTGAGAGTAACAGGATATTAAAATTTATTTGTACATGGCTGACAAGGGCCTACAGCAATTATGAAATTAATCAAAATATTTGTCATCCTAAATAATTTGAAATGAAATGGGTCATTTGGTTCCTTCTTTTTGTATAGCCGAATAAGACTTGGACTTTGAATATCATCATAATTTATTCCCTTCAAAAGTTATTATATAAATTTTATTTTAATAAAATACCTCATGCAAAGTAAGCGCCTCACTAGAACTGGGGATTGGATGAGGAGAATATACAATTTGTGAATCTTCAATAACTGAGATTTTCTATAAATAAAGAGAGTTTAATTTCTTTCCTTATGAAAAACTATATTTTTATTAAAATTTTAGCCAAATGGTAATTTTTTCTTAACAACATTATAATTAAGTTTTTAATAAATGTTGGAAATATTTGAATAATCTCATAATCATAATTTATTTCCTTCAAAATTTATCATATAATTCGTATTTAAATTACCTCATCATGCAAAGTAAGCGCTTCACTGGAACTGGGGATTGGATGAGGAGATAATACAATTTGTGAATCTTCAATAACTGAGATTTTCTATAAATAAAGAGGAGTTTAATTTCTTTTCTTATGAAAAACTATATTTTTAATAAAATTTTAGCCAAATGGTAGTTTTTTTCTTGACTACATTATAATTAAGTTTTTAATAAATGTTTTAATTCCACAAGAATACATGATTGAGAAAACAGGCATTAAAAATATTATGAAGTCCAACATATTATCAGGTTACAATGGCAAGATTTTAAATTTAAAAATTCCTAGAAATTAACATTATCTTATTTTATTATTTTACTACATTATATTAACTTAATAAGTTTTTTTAATACTTTGGTTTTAAATTTTTATTATTAACCTATTAAACATATTGTTAAATTGAACTTTATAAAGTATATATAGATATTAAAATAGTGTAATAAACAGTTAAAAAAAAATAATAAAATGTATAATTTATTTTCTCTATACTCTGACTATTTTAATATTAATATTATTCTGGTAAAATTTTAAATAAAAATCAGTTTCTATTAATTCACAAATTTTAGGTATATTTTCAATAATATTTATTGTCTTTAGTTACAATAATAAAAAAAAATATTACTTTTTGGAAGTAAGATGTTATTGTCTTTTTTTGCAACTGGGTCTCAACTCCATTTGTGATATTATATGGAATATCACAATTTAAGGATACCCAATTATTATTATCTCTTTTGATGGCTACCTTTGTAAATTTCATATCAGTTGGCTTGACATGAGGATGTTTATCTTTATAATGTTCATGTATCTTGTCACTTCTTATTTTAGAAGTTTTACAGTTAAGGTAATTACACTTTACCTTAAATAAGGTTCTGTTACTTGGCATCTAGAAAGAAATAATTATTATAATATAATTTTTTACATATTATGTTTTTTATTATTCTTTGCTTGCTGATATATGTTTTTAAGCATGATTCAAAAAATTACTTAAAATTTATCCTGCTAAAATCTAGAAATTTATTAAAAAACATAATATAAATATATTAACCTCTAAGAAAAGTACCAAATAGGAAATGTGTAAATATTAACTTGTATAAAATGTAAAATGAAAATGGCTTGACAAAGAAAGTTT